ATTAGTTGAGATTTTTTAGGTCATCAAAATCCGGGCTCTAGTAATGAATCTTAAGTGTTTAACACTAAACATACCATAAGCGGTCAGATGACCGTTTAAGAACTTATACATCGAAAATGCGCATATCAACTTATCGCTTTTGCACATTTGACTTCATGACTTTTTCTAACCATTATATACAGTTAATATTCCATTATTATTATTTTTTCGTATTTTGTTTGTTTCGAATAAAACCTGTCGTATACCAATTTCTACCACAACCAGTCATTTGACCGAGAACAATTTATTGCTTTATGAAGTTATTGGATCAGAAATTACAATGTTATGAGTGTTCAACGTATTGCATTCGATTAGTTGCACATTTCTGCAAAAACTGTTGCGTAATTAGTTCAAACAGAATAACTGTGATTCAAATTTCAAGCAGTACCTAAAATTTTAGATTGGCATTTTTGTGTAAGAAAAAGTGACAAAAGCTAAAAGTTTTGGTGAGTAGCAAGATTCTTATCAACGTATGACATGCCAAACAGGATATTGTAACAGAAATAAAAACATCAAAATTTGTTCTAAATGTGAAAAACATGCTTGCGGAAAATGTACAATGGAAACACCATGTATATGTAAAAAATGCGTTGAGCAATGAATTAAAAATTCTGATTCTTTGTGTTTGTAATACATAAAAATTGACAAGCTACAATTTGTTTAATTATGAAAAAGTTACTTTGTTTATTTCCTTCCTAACATCAATGTTTCATTCATTCAATTAAGAAACATTTGACCGGCTATGGTAGAAATAGGTACAGTACAGAACCCATTATCCGGAAATCAGAAAACCGGAATACCAAAAAACCGGAAAGAAATTCGATAAATTTTCTCGCCATTTAAAAAAAAAATTTCCTCATAAGATTTTACGATTTTTCTTTCTTTTTTAAAAGATGTTTACCTTACCATCATTTTGGAAATAATCATTAGTGTATTACTTCATCTTTTTTTCTTCTGTTTTAGATTATTTCCAAATATTTTTTATTTAGTTGGGTTTAACAATAAAAAAAAACGGCTTTTTGTAGCGATTCAGAAAACCGGAAAAATCAGTTATCCGGAATAGCGATGGTCCCGACCGTTCCGGATAATCGGTTTCCTACTGTATTTATTAAATGTTGGTATATTTAGTGTTAAAGAGATTACAATCGAAAAGTGAAAAATATAGTCTATTTCTTGCATTAATAATGCCGAGTTAATAACTAATAGTAGAGTTACGCTACTGTTGCGAAAAAAAATAAAAGTTTCGAAAGGAGTATTTCCGTGTTAGTCGAGCAAAAAATAGCGGATTTAATTCCACATAAAATTATAAATACGCGAGTGCGAATTCCAGCGTCATTTAATCTTGCGGATCCTAATTTCAATATCCCAGGAACAGTCGACATTATTCTTTCAGGAGAATATTTTTATGACGTCATAAAACCGGGAAAAATAGAAGCTAAAAGTAAAAAACATAACATTACAAGACTCAGTGTTTGGTTACATAGTGGGAGGTAGTGTTTCCAGATTAGATTAACTTAATTCTAGTTATTTTGGTTTAATGTGCGAGTCAGATGAATTAAATTCGAATTTGAAAAAGTTTTGGGAGATCGAAGAGATAGGAAACGAATTACATAAAAGTAAGGAAAATTCCATATGCGAAGAACATTATGTGTTAACTCATAAGAGAGATGAGACCGAAAAATATATAGTTTACATGCCATTTAAGGAGCATTATTCAGATTAGGGAGATTCGAGGCACATAGCTCTTAGGAAACTTGAATCGCTGTGTGTTAGTTAGTCTCGTGACCAAAACTACCTAAAACTGTATAGAGATTTTTTGAAGGAATATGAAAAATTAGGACATATGACTGAAGTAAACGAGTGTATTGAACCCGAGGTTTCATTTTATATGCCCCATCATGGCACTTATAAGCTGCAAAAGAGCACAACAAAACTTCGAATAGCATTCAATGCTTCGATCTTAACTACTAGTGGAAAATCTCTCAACTTCATTCAGTATAATAGTGAAGTCATCTAGAACGATCTTTTTTTGTTGTGATGAACTTATGGGTGACCTACCTAAAAGTCGCGTGAGACAAAACTTTCCATTTGCCACTTCAAAAGTGGACTTTTGCGGTCCATTTACAATTAAATACAAGAACCAACGGAAAGGTATTTTTCAAAAAATTGATGTCGCGGTTTTTGTATGCTTTGTCACAAAGGCGGTTCATTTGGAGCTTGTGACAGAGGTGAGTTCTTAAGCATTTATAGCTAATTCAAAGATATTTTTTTCGCATAGAGGAAAATGCAATATCCCGTCCTTAGGTTATATTTGGCCGATATTTTTACCGCTAACTGATATCTCTATGTCTCCCAAAACTCCCAAAATCTCTATGACTAACACTGATACATAGTCTCAAAACATAACACACACAAAACACGCATATCCCACAATCAACCACGGACTGGCTCACAATGGCAATCAACGTGGATGATCACCACACACGCCTCACCACTGACCCTGCTCCTAGACACTGGGGGCAAGCAGTGTGCCAGGAGCTTTTCAGCTACCCGTGATGGCTATTCATGTAAATTCAAAAAAAATTAAAATGGTGGGGGATGAGTCAGCCAACTTAATTACTAATTTCTAATAAGTTACCACCATTTATGATTTTGGTAAGTTTTATTCTTCACTATCCGCCAAAACACTGCCTCAACTACTACTCATAATAAAAATAGGTAAAACACACAATACAGCATAAACAAAATATACATACCCCACAATCGACCACGGACTGGCTCACAATAGCAGCCAACGTGATTGATCACCACACACTCCTCACCACTGACCCTGCCCCCAGTCCCTGGGGACAGACAGTGAGTCCGGAGCTTTTCAGCTACCCGTGATGGCCATTTATGTTAAATGTAAGAAAAAAATAAGAATAATAAATAAAAAAATTTTAAAAAATGAAAAATTAAAAAAAAAATTACCTGTGACGTGACTAGCTATTTTATATTGTACTGTTATTGTCGATGTCCATCCTTTGAGTCTGTAATGTAACACTGATAGTTAATCAATGTAAAATGAAAATGTCGCTACTAGGCCGGGATAGCCTGGTTAGTGGGGTGCCGGGCCCATGTCCAAGAGTTCGTGGGTTCGGTCCCCTCCGGTCGAAGACTCCCCGTGTAGTAAATGGTGACTGATGCAAGTTAAATTTGTCGAGTCTCAAAGTCCTCCATGTTCCCATTACAAATCAATATCTCTGGGGGTACCGATCCAGGAGTTTCCTTGTCTTCTGGATTGGTTCAAAATTACAAGGCTACATCGTTGAACATTAGTAGTCGTAAACTCAAAAATTAGGTCGGCTGTTCAAAAGCGGTCATAAAATAAAAAATATCCCGTCCTTATTTAATGCGACTAATTTCGTTGGAAGTAATAATGAGTTACAACGATTATTTAGCTTAGTTAAATGTCCCCAAGAGAGTTTATGTAATTATATGAGTTATGAAAATATCAAATGGAAATTTTGCCACCGAGGAGTCCAAATTTTGAAAGACTCAGGAAAGCTGGTGTGAGATTCTTCAAATATCATCTGAAGAGAGAAGTGGGTGATAAGAAATTAATTTATGAAGAATTTTTGACAGTGACAACCGAGGAGTCCGAATTTTGAAAGACTCAGGAAAGCTGGTGTGAGATTCTTCAAATATCATCTAAAGAGAGAAGTGGGTGATAAGAAATTAATTTATGTAGAATTTTCGACAGTGACAACCGAGGAGTCCAAATTTTGAAAGACTCAGGGAAGCTGGTGTGAGATTCTTCAAATATCATCTGAAGAGAGAAGTGGGTGATAAGAAATTAATTTATGAAAAATTTTTGACAATGACACGCGAGGAGTCCGAATTTTGAAAGACTCAGGGAAGCTGGTGTGAGATTCTTCAAATATCATCTGAAGAGAGAAGTGTGTGATAAGAAATTAATTTATGAAGAATTTTTGACAGTGACTACGGAAATTGAGTACGTTTTAAATTCAAAACCTCTTACGCCGTTATCTTCAGATGATTTGAGCGTTCTCACTCCAAGCCATTTCCTGATCGGAAGATCATTTACAACAATTGTTGAACCAGATGTAACCAATGTAACTGATTATAGGTTGAGTTTTTAGCACAAAATCACTATATTCGTGCAACTGATATGGAAAAAGTGGCACAAAGATTATTTGTCAACCTTGCAATAAAGGTCGAAATGGTACATTGATAAACAAAACATGAAAACTGGAGATATGGTGGTGATAAAAGAAGACAATTTAGCTATATGTAATTTTCGAATTGGTAGAATTGTGGAGGTCTTTCCGAGAAAGGATGGCAGAGTTCGTGTTTGTAGTAACAAAACAAATAAACGAATCTTCAAGCGGCCAATTTCTAAGAATTGTTTATTGCCAAAGGAATGAATATTATTCTTTTTTTTTTCAACTGCATATTATTTTTTCATATTTTTGTGAATATTTCATTGTGTAATAGTGATTTGTATGTGATTTGTTAATTATGAAAGATTTGTTGATTGTTAAACAATGCAACACCCGGCGGTATGTAGTGTACGATTGTAGCGCCATCTAGAAACCTATGTAACAGGAAAACGAGAATGTTAATTGTGAAGGAGTAGAGAGCGCAATTAAAAATGTGAGAAAAATTACAGTTCATTTGTGGTGTTATAATTTGAGGAGTATTTAAAATAGAGAGATATCGAGGGCCAAAACAGTTACTGATGAATCTGATATCCCTCTATTTACATCATAAAACATTGCTGGATTAACATTGGCAATTATATAAGAGTAAATTCATGTTCGGTTGGTCTTCTGACAGGTTTAAATAATCGTGTTTCTGCTTTTGACTATTCATTTACATGTATCTCTCCGCAAAACAAACTTACTGAATAAGGTAATAAACTTTCATAGTTGTGTAAAAAAATGAATCGTAACTATGTCTCATATTTTACACAAATTATTTATTATCACTCCTAATTTGCAATTACAAATTGGATTATACATTCAAAAATAATAGGATTAACAAAATGTTTAGATTTTAAATAACTCGCTCTTGAAACTTTAGACTCTATTATCGTCCATTTTTAAATAGTTAGATAATTGAACAACAGCATTTGATTCAAAATGCGCTGGATTATATTCTACTGTATCTTCATTTATAGTTTCCAACTGAATCATTGGAACTTCCATATCTTCCTTTACTACTGATGAATCTGATACTGATCTGTTTACACGTGGTACTTGATCATAAAACATTGCTGGATTAACATTGGCATTTATATAGGAGGAATTCTTGTTAGGCTGATCCTCTGACAGGTTCAAATAATCATGCTTCTCTTTTTGGCGATTCATTTCCATGTATGGGGCATTCAAATCAGCAAAGTGCTATAAAAGAAATATAAATTATTTTGTACTATTATTTTGTAATAAATTATTTTGTATGAATTATTTGTAAAAGAAATATTATTATTTTGCTGATTTTATCATGATATTAATGTATCACATCAAAAAGTCACCTTAGTAGAAATAAAATTATCAAAAAATATTTGTTTGATCCTTACAAAGTGCAAGGAAGCAAAGAACTTTTAGACTATTCTAAATAAAAAAAAAACGCTGATAATTAAGTAACGTTAAATTTAAGTAAAAAGAATTTTGATTTATAAATAAATTCGACGAATTTTGGTAGAAAAAGGGATTTTTAACTACCTTACAAAATTTGACGTTGATTGATTAACTTATAATGCCAAAGTCACCCAGTCTTTTATTAAATTAGGTATAATATTATTAGATGCCTTGAAATCAAAAAATAATTACAAATTTTGCTGCTTTAAAACTGTTTTTAATGGATGTATCCTTACAATTGACGAGTATAACGGGAGAAGCAGGTAAGTGACATTTTTACAAAACTTGAGATTTCTCACAGAAAGATCTTATTGTAGTTTTATTTAAATGCAAATCACTCATTTAAATTGCGAAATGTATTAATTCCAAATGTGCTCAGTGGAAGAAGTAGGTAAGTGACACTATTTGAGTATCTTTTGGATGAAAGAGCAAGGTAAATGAGCTAAACAACAAATAGTCAAGAAAGAACCTTAAAAAAATCACTCAATGGCATCAGACGCTAAGATGCGAGGAGTTCGGCCAATACCTCCTAGAAGAAAGAAGTTCTCATCACGGGTTAACATAGACTAAGAATTTAACCCTTTAGTTGTCCAAACGTAATGACATCTTCGTATTTCCCCCACTGCGCAGCTTAGAAGCGAAAGTGAATCTTTCTTGTGAAAGTGATTTTTTCTCCATTGCTCAGTTTATGTTCGTTATGTCTGACTACTAAATAAACCCGTTCTGAGGCTTTCTCTCTTCTGGAAGGTGTTCGAAGTTATTCTGAAAGTCTTCGACATATAATTTTATTCCTTCTGGTTGGCAATCCTTGTTGTTTTAGACACATTGCCCTGTTTATAAATTCATTTTTTCTGAGCAAACTCGCGTGGAAAATAAATATTATTAAATGCATTCTGCAGCTTTCTTCGTGAATTTTTACTGTTACTAGCTGAATACTCATTCCTCTTAAGGGGTTGAAATAAAAACAAGATAATAAATAAATGACCAACACTATGACATCATCTCAAAACTGAAAACTTAAAAAACTGGCACAGTTAATTAAGTTGAAAAAATTCAAGTCTCTTTCTATTCATTATTATTTGATGGTCGTTCTGAAGGTTTCACGTTATTAGATTAAGCAAAATAGGTTTTTAGAAGTTCAGCCTATCAAAATAAAGATTAACAATATTCAGTATCATTTGGTATAATGCTATAGCTCGAGACAGATTTCTGATTATCAAAAACTACCATAATAAACAATTTTCTCCTATACTTAACCCAATCACTGGGTCGTAAGCAACCACCGTACCTATATTATGGTACTATGTTAGTATATATAGTGTATATTAAAACAGTATCGATTAACACAATATTGTTAGTATATATTACAGTAAAATGTTCTTTTTTCGGATTATTATTTTTGGTTTGAAAATAAAAAGGGGTTCATCAGCAATCTTTATGATGTGAGCACTCACTTAAAATATTAAGCACATATCTTATATAATTGACAAAGGGCCGGGATAACCTGGTCAGTAGGGCGCTGGACCCATGTTCGTGGGTTCGAACTACGCAGACCGAAGACTCCCCTGGTAGTAAATGGTGACTGAACACGTTAAATCTATCGAGTCGCAAAGTCCTCCATGTTCCCATAACAAATCAATACCTCTGGGGTTACTGAATTGGAGATTGATCATACTCTGGTTTAGGTCAAAATTACGATCTGTGGATGAATGGGTCCACCCTATAAAACGGGTGTGACGTATGAGGGTGACAGAACTCGAATTCTTGACCATAGATGGCGCCACAGGAAAACAAGAACAATCGAACCCTACTGCCTTAACAGACACAGCAATTGACAAAACTAACGACAATTTATTCGTAAATATCAGCATGGCTCAGTGAAGACATATCAAGTTTACGTATGAATGAATCATGGAGATAGGTTAAGTTTTATTTTGTTCTCTGTCTTCAGAGATTAAATCACTGATGCAAATTATACTTTAGTAGAAATAAACGACAGAGCTTATATTTCTTTGAGCTAACCATGAAACATCTTGGTCTTAACCTCCCATTTACTAAAATGCTGATTAGTTTCGCTTACAAAAATTCTTCTCGAAGGCGAATGTGACTGGCTCTTTAAATTGATGCTCTTTTGTCCTATAGATTCCAGGCACTAAGAAGTTGAAAATGAAAAGAAAAGAAAAAATTGCATATTCACTAAATGTACTGATGTTCGACGCCAGAAATTTGTGAAGTGGTAACCTAAATTATGAACAAAATCGAGAGTATCATAACTTAGCTTAGTTTACCACGATAGAAAAAATGCCCAAAACAGTCTTGTAAGCATTTTTATAATTAAAACAAACATACTTTTTTGCATGAAACTACTAATTTTAAATAAAGCAAATTGTTTTAAAAATGTGTTACAATAGCTATGGATATATATCTATTTTTTTGCCTAAAAATTAATAAAAATACTTTTATTGAATCTTAGACCTACCTTTAGATGTAACAAAATAACATAATAGTTTGACTATAATCAGCACTATTTAAGGAAAAGAATTTAAATCAATACTTACCGAATTTTCGCCTCTTTAAGCGATAAATACCGGCAAAACATCGCAAATGTTGAGGCTCGAGCTATCTCTAAATTATTTTTGGACGGTTTTCGGACAAACTAGATAAACAACAAGGCTAGATAAAACTTGATGTCACTTTGTCTCAAATTGAGGTTACTAAAGTTTTATTTCGTGTATATGAAACTTAATATATTTGTTTTAGCTTTTTAAACAAAATTATTTTTGGTAAATAAAAAATTAAAAATCTCCCATGAAAACAAGCAGATGCTATGCACAAAACTAATTAAAAATCCTCCTTTATAAAAGAGTTAGTGTCAAATAAATATCCACCTAAAACTTTTATGAGTTATAACTTTACAAACAAACTAAATATATCAAGATTAAGCGAAGTAACAAAAGCTCATTTATCGAAATTCAATAAAATATCACTTACCTGTTTCTTTGAGTAAGTTCTAAAATATTCAATGAATAAAATAAATTAATTAAAAGTAAATCAAATTTAACACTTTCTTCAGCAAATTGTAAAAATAAAATGCTTTCAGTTCTGACTTAAAAATAAAAATATCAATATTATCAACCTAAACTGATATTAATCATCATTCACCTGTTTTACTCCCGAGTCCACAAAACCTTCAAGAATAATTGAGAGTTCATTAAAATCTGGTCTTGCTTCTGGAGTGGCTTGCCAGCAGTCTTGCATGATTCGATAACTGTGGCAAAAAAAGAAGATATAAGCATGGTTAACTTGTAAAGTGAGCGAAAAAATCGGAAATTCTATAAGTCTTATTTAGAGAATCGTGGGCAATTTTTGAATTAAAATTGGGAGTAAAATTAAAGAATTTCTGGAGTTGGTAGGTAATTTATTTACATCGCACTAGAGCTGCCCAATGGGCTATTGGCGAAGGTCTGTGAAAAATCCCCGAGGATGATCCGAAGACATACCATCACAATTTTTATCCTCTGCAGAGGGATTAGCTCCTCTGCTTTGGTAGCACTTCCAAGAAATTCTAGAATAGAAGAAATTCTAGAATTTATAGGAATGAAAAAAACGTGTTTGAAATTCGCACTCGTTAACAGAAAAAAATTATTGCAAAGAGAGCTTACCAGAAAAAAAAAGCTGCAAATGAAGTTAGAATAAAATTTTGAATTTTCAATGTTCATCAAGGACTGATCAAAATATTTTAAATAAACAATCTCATCTTTTTTTATAGAAAACTTGTGTTCACGTCCACCTCTTACAAATCATCATAGGAGAAAAAGAGTTAATTTTGCCAAAAAAATGAATTTCTCTCTGTCAAAAATGAACTGATGTGATTTTTTTGACGAAAAAAAGTCAAACTTTGATGGACCTCATGATTTTTGTTATTTTTGGTATGATCTGTGAAAGACCAACGAAGTGTTTTGCAAACGTCAACATGGTGTTGGCTCAGTGATGGTTAGGGGCCATTTTGTCGCAAATAAAACCACTTCAATAGTGTTTATAGATAGCAAAATAAATACGGACTATTATGTTATGTTAGAAAAAAGTTTGTTACCAGAAGGGCCACTGATTTCTTCACAGGACTAAATTTTTTAACTGAATAATGCTTCGATACAGGTTTCTAAGAGCGCAAAACTCCGGTTTGAAACTAATTTTCTTAACTAGCCATGGAAAGGCCAGATCTTAATCTAATCGAAAACTAACCCAAGAAATTTATAAAAATGGCACACAATATCAATGCACACAGGTTCTTGTCTTCGTTGACAAAGAAGCTAAGACAAGAAATCTATTTATACTTCAAAGGATCTTTCCGAATCAATAACTTCTCAGTTTACTCAAGTGATTGAAAAAAAAAGTAGTTTTCTTAATAATTAAAGAAAATTTTAAATATTTTAAAACATGTCCTTATATTTTTTTCCTTGTTTCCATATTTTGAAGCTAATTTTTTTATGCATTATAAGTGTTAATACGAAAATTTATAACAGAAATCAAAAATATAAAAAATTTCATTTAGCGAATAATTAGCAATAAAATTTGAGCGAAATCAGTTGAATAGTTCCTGAGAAATCGAGCTTTTAAAATACAGTTTTTTTAAATTCAGTTTCTCAGAAACAATTCAACCTATTTCGTTCAAACTTCGAATTTCGCTTTGCAAAAGTTGTATTCTTTAAAATGATGTAAAAAACTGTATACTTTACAATTCAAACTTTTTCCGACTGTTATTGAATGAAAAAATAAAAAGAAATCAATATTTACTGAAAGTCAATTTTTGCATGGAATTCTCTTTGAATAAACAAATTTTATAATTGTGTGCAAAAATGTTCAAATCGCTTAAAAGTTCTCGAAATATTGCAAAATACGCAAAAAGAAAAAATAACATTAAGGGGTACAGAATTTGGACCCCTCTCCTGATCAAACTATTTGGACTATATTTCCAGATTGCCACCCCCCCCTATATTTTAGGGGTCAGAAATCCGAATCCATCAAAAAAAAGGTATGTTTATTCAGAAAAAGTACGCTTTAGTAGCTGGTTTTCGAACTTAAAATATCATCTGCACCATTAATTAGGCTATTTAAGTGTTAAGAATGAGTCCTAAAACATAAAGATCTGATCATTATATAAAAAGTTATTCAGTGGTTCAATTTTTATTTTGCGCACTTTACAATAGGTCAATACGATCATCAAATGACAACAGGGTTACCTTACTTATTAAAGGAATGAAACCAACAGACCCTTTGAACTTTTGACAATTTCAAGTAAAGGGGATTATCAATTCAGAAAAGCGTCCTTTGTCTGATAAAGATATAAGTATTGTAAACGTGTGAAAACTTAATTATAAAAATAAAAAAACTTCACTCTATATCAATTTCGAAATTAAGTTTATACAATTAAAATAGTAAATTTTACTAGGAATTGGTAAGATTACTGATATTCTCTTACATAGCATCAAGGCAGTTTTGGGGTTTTATTAGGAATTGGTAAGATAACTGATATTCTCTTACATAGCATCAGGGCAGTTTTGGGGTTTTATTAGGAATTGGTAAGATTACAGATATTCTCTTACATAGCATCAGGGCAGTTTTGGGGTTTTTCCATTCTATAACCAGAACTTAATCTCTTGTAGAAGTCTTCATCTACTTCAATTCCTGGATAGGGATTACTCCCCAAAGCAAAAAATTCCCACATCAAAATTGCGAAGGACCATCTGAAAAAAAATAAAGCCATTAATATTTTTGAAATATAAAAACAGATCAATAAAATTATGTGATAAGAATAAGATTTTGAAATTTATGTAAGGGAGAATTTCATGAAAGTCAAGCGTGAGTTTATTTTATTTTTTGAAGATTTAATTCCCTCTTTCTCAGAAATAAAACTCTCACTTTTGACGATTCAGCAATACTTGAGCTATATTTCGTTAATTTTGAGAATTATTTACCCATGAAATCAAGTGACGACAGCGGGAACTCACAAATATATGACGAAAATGTTTCCTCAACTCGAAACCTTATCGTAATGCATTGTGGGAGATTGTTAACTAAGACTATATAGGTAATCGAAAAGAAACGAAATAAGCCGACTGGTTTATATGGTGGGCATTTAGTTGACCCCGTACCAGGAAGATTCCGGATTCGAATTCCGCTTCGTGCGTGGGTTAGATTTATCTTTCCATTCTATTTTCATGTCTTGATCCAGACAACTATTAAGTCTTGATCCAGAGTTGTGAGGTCAGAAGTGATATTTTATATAGCATTTAATAAAAATATAAGCATTAAATATTGAGGAAATAAAAGAAATACGAAATCTAAGGGATAAAGCCAATGCCAAGTAAGCGAATAGTGGTATTTCTTCAACTGAAAACAAATCAATCAAAAAAAAATCATAACTAGCTTACACGTCACTCTTTGTTGTAAATACATGATCTCGTATTGATTCTATAGCCATCCATTTGATTGGAAGTGGACCCTAAAAATAAAAATATAAAATCATCTTTTTTGATTGTTAAAAAAAATCAAATATTACTTTTTTAAAAAAAAAGAAGGAAAAATATTTTCTTACGTCGCCTTGTTTTACATAATTTTCATATTTGTAACAATCTTTAGCCAATCCAAAGTCACATATTTTCACCACCTTATCATCTGCCAAGAGAACATTTCTTGCTGCCAAGTCTCTATGGATTAACTTGATAAATAAATATTTTTCTTAGAAACAATTCGATCAGAAATTGTAAATTAAACTCTATTTAACCCAATAACAATAAATTCTTAAAAAAGTTATAAACTATATATTTTACAACCTAAATGTGTGAAAATTGCAATGCATAAATAAAAGGAAAAAATTTCAAGAGTACACATTGAAATTTATACTTTAAGCATTACTTACGATCAATCTTGAGCAGTTATTAAAATAAAAAACCTACTTCTAAATAATTTTACAGGAAAAAGATTTAACTACATAATCTTTTTTTATAGATATATATATAAGTTTAAACGTGCATTATTTATATACAGATACAATACATGTGCATACTTATTTCTGATTGACTGCATATTAATATAACTTACTTATAGGTGTGAAATAACAAATTAATGGTTCGGTTAAATTTTGTCAGTTTAACAAAAAATTTAGACTATTATAATAAAATACTAAAGTGAACACTGTAAAAAATTTTTGTACATGTTTGCCACTATTTTTGGGGTTTCAGAAAACTAAAGTATTTTACAGTGCATGCAGTCACATTTTTATTTACTTTTTCACAGTTATAGTTTATTTATTTATTTATTCATTTTTTCTTCCATTTTGTTTAGTGACAATACGTATTTTCAATGTGCATTAGAATCAATTTTTGGCTTCTCTGAAAAAATATTTCGTCAAAAAAGCAAAAAAAAATTTTTTAATATATTCGGTCGAATTCTTTTGAACAATTGTTATTTTGCTAATTTTATGTAATTGTTTGTATGATAACCATATTTCTGTTGTTAAAAATGCATTTACTTTACCTCAAAACCGAAAATGCAACTAAACACTACAATTCCCCAATAATTTATGAAAACAGGAAATTCATAAATTATAAAAAACTATTTTAAAATTATACAAATACTAATTTTAAACAATTTATAATGTATCAATGAAAAAATATTTACAACTCAAAATTTGTTTTGATAAATCTTAATTTACGAAAAAAAATGCTTTAAACTGAGAAATGAACATATTTTTAATGTTTTTGAACAAGCAAAGACATGGCAAAATACATTTTGTTTCAATTAACTATTTAAAAGTCGAATTCTTTACGTTGTACAAAATTAAAAATCCTTAAACATGTTTCTTAAAAGATATATCATGGATAAATATGTTTAATTTGCCTTATGGTTTGTTAATATTTTAATTATCGCACATTTTTCAAGAAATAACCTTAACGTCCAATGTGTAACGCCACTGAAGATCGAGTCCTAACAACCTGCCCAAACTTTTCTAATATTAGAAGAAACTTCTTTCCTAGAAATATCTCACTGAATACTATGCAATAAGAACTTCTAAGACTTAATTTCAACTGACATTTAATTTCAACTGACTACATGAAAACTCAGTATTAACTTGACTATGATTTCTTATAAATGTGAATTACACTGTACAACATATTTTGTGATTATTGTCTGTAATAAAGTAATTGTAATTGTCCCTCGTAATGAGTTAACTTTTCCATTATATACCATTGATACTGTCATTGATATACCAATAAATACCGTTTAAACGTTCGGAAACAAAACTGAAAGGTGACCAAGAGTAATTCAGGTATTCACCACAAATAAAGAAATATGTATTACGAAAATTTAGAATCGACTGTAAGCTATTGAATTTGCCGGAAAAATTGTTTTCATAATTTATGATTCAAATATGCTTAGAAATGTCACGAAACTTATAAGTCATTCGTCCCAATGAAAGCAGAACTGTTGTATTAATGGTTTGGTGCGGGTTTTGTGTTGGCAATATCATAGCATCATTTTCCTTTTCAGATTCTCTCAACATGGCTAGAACAGATCACCATAACATGGTTTTTCTACGCTCTTTCGCCAAGGAAAATAAAAAGAATAGCCACAGTTTAAGTGCTTTGCAATTAAAGCAAAACTATAATTTTAATTTTCTATGCCATCTTACCGTGAAGAATTATCTAGGCTTTTGAACGGACAAATAACTTTAAAATTTAAAAGTTATTAAACTTTTTAAAATATCCTCAATTTGGCGGCATTTTTCCACATAGAAGGAATTTATCAAAATCACTGTCTTATTCTTGGTTTCAGAAAATTTCTAAGAGCTCAGATAATGCAGCATTGGGGAACGTCTCTAATCATAAAATTAAACCGCAAACGCTTTTAATTTTAATAAAGCTGTGGCTTTTCTGCATATTGAAATTTTGCGAAATTTACAGTACAAGCATAGAGAACGCAGGCAATAGATAGGCTTAATTCCACATTACGGTCGCGAACTTAGACGTTTAATTAACTAACGATTAATGAACTTGTCAAAAGCCACCAATTTATCAAAATCAAATATTATTTTCTATATAAAGTTGTAAGTGGGCTAAGGCCAAAAATGCATAACAAATCAAATTGTTACGCAGTGAAGTAAATTTTAGAAAACTAAAAACTAAACCACAAACTCTTTTCATCTTCGCAAAACTATGGCCTTTCTCTATATTGACGTTCTGAGCCGTTTTCAGAATAAGCATAGAGAGCAGTGGCTATCGGCTAAACTTGATCTAACAATCATGAGAAATAGTTGCAAATACAACACTTATGAAAACAGCATATTTTTCTCAAGAAAAACATAATTTTATATGATGACGGCATCGAATAAATTCGAAGAACCCTATCATTTAATGCTTATTCGACGATGGTCATTTTTTTTTCTTCTAACATTTAATTAGCTAATCAAAAATCACTAATTCATAAAAATCAGATAACATTTTCATTATGAAGTTGTAAGTGGCCCAACAAAGCAAATAAAGGCACCTACCAAATTTTTTGTCTCATGTACAATTGAAACTTGTTAATTTCATGAAGAAAAAATGTTTCATTTTGCTGAATTACCTATACATTTAGCATTGTATGAAAAATAAAAATTAATTTAATCAAACAAATGAAACTAATTTACAAATTCAGAAAAAGGCAAAATAAGTAAGTAACATTTAAAATAATAAATCATAATAGAAAAGCGCTTAAGGCAGTTAAATCCAAATTTGTTTTATTTTAATTTAGAAATTCGGAAATACAATTCTAGCAAAAAACAACAAAAATTTTAAGATATGTGTTTCAGCTATCGGAAATTTCAAGATTACATTCGAGAATAATATTTTTCCTTCTAATTACTGTAATTATGATATTTTGATTCAAAATATTTTAAAGACGTTCAAATAATTCGACTGATATTGAAGGCCATTAATAGGCCTATGCTGTGAAATTTAGGATTTTATATTCCTGATGCATATAGATGGCAAAACTTTTTTTAAATTTTTACTCATTTTTTTTTTTTGTTTTATTTTTCAAGATTTTCAAAAAAGGAGTCAGCATTTGATTTATTTCCCATGTTTCCTTAAGAATTTGGAAATTTATATTTTATTTTGATGTAGTTATTCTAACTGTAACTTTATCTTTATTTATTTTTCCTATAGGTGGGCGTCTCTTATTTAGGTCTTACTCTGTGTACTTTTAAATCATTATTAAGACTTACTCTGAGTGCTTTTAAATTGTGATTGTTCGCCATTAATTTTTTTTTGCATTTACATTTCATTTTTTTAATTGCTTTTTCTTATTTGTTTTTACACTATGGGGCCTCGGGGAGCTGTCAGTTTTGGAGTTTTACCACTGACAACAGAAAGGCTCCTGTGTGTTAGCAGGTAGCAGGCAGTGTGTCCCCTGATGAAGTCCTGCTAACACACATATCTTAACATTTTTGTTGTTTTCTGCTAGAATTGTATTTCTGAATTTCTAAATTAAATGAAAATTAATGTTATTTGTAGGCAAAGTAAGTTGAATACCTTTTTCGATGATAAATAATCCATGCCACACGCGCACTGAAATGCATAACAAATCAAATCAGATGTATAAATTACATGTTCATGGCTGTCAACTCGATGATAATTTCTAAAAACGCTGCTAGATTCAGATGAACAACTCATTGAACGACCTGTAGTTGATATCGTTGTAGATGGTTTTGCTTCTACGTTTTGAAGTTGTTCCCTAATTAAAATAAATCAGTTTTAAGTAAAAAACAACTACTAATTCACTTGAAAATCTACTTAATATTCTGTTTCAAATTCTTACATTTCTGCTACATAAAAGTTGCGTTACACTTACAGTGGTTCAGAAAATATAGGTCTTAAACCTTTCCTGAATTATTTTTTCCAAATTAATTTTAATCAAAAAAAAATTTACAAATCATAGATGCCAAATAAATAGAGCTAAATTTGAAAAACAAGTGCTAAAATAAATCTCAAACAATGTAATAATGTTAAATAATTATTGAATAACACACTTCTTGTTTATAAACTAAATGTAGGTTATGAGCAAAAAAATAATACTGTGCACCGAAAAGCTTAAATTTTAAATTATAATTTGTTGGATATTATGTTATACACTAAAAAAAATTCCGGATGAAATAACAGTGAAAATTACCGGCCATACTTTTTACACCGCCAATACTTTTTACCGTAAAATTCATTTTTACGGTGAAATTCCCTTTTGCAGCTAAATCCATTTTTACCAAATCATATTGCAAAACAAAAAATCAGATGTACCGTAATTTTTACAGTAGTAATTGCCATAGAATCTCTCAATCAGTCTAATTAAATAAATATTATTTTAAAATTACGATATACTCTTTTACGGTAAGAAGGAATTTTACCGTAAAAATGTATTTTACGGATAATGTAGCAAAAGTACCGGTATTTTATGCCAGAATTTTTTACAGAGCATTCCTATTTAATGAAATATTAGTCAGATACCTCATTTGCATGTTAATCTAATCTAATTTTCTTAATTTTCAACATAGCAAAGACAAAAAAAAACTTATAAAAATAATTTAAGAAATTTCAGCTTTTATCACTACATGTTTGAAAGTTACCCATAGCGCCAACAATTTTTATAACCTGCCATTTTTAACATAGTTTTCATTATTTAAAAGATATGCACATTTCGCTATGTTTAATTTCATCATGATCTAGCTAGTTACATACAAAACAACAAGTCAATTTTTAAATTAATCACTAATATATTATTATAGCAACACAATATATTTCATTAAAATATTGTAAAAACAAATATTTTTTAATAACTTATACCTATAACTTGGATTGTCTAAGGCCATTCCAGTTGACGTAGAACCTTGTGAAGATGTGATTGATTCACCTTTTACCCGAAAAGACTTTAAGCTATCCATGCGTGAAACTTCCGGAGTACGAAATATTTCTTTAAACCCTGATTCCGTATCATTTACAAAGTTATCCCGATATCTCAGAAGAAATTCACGAATATTTCCATAGCGACAGTATTCCACCATTACCAAAAGTTCTCCTGAAAAAAAAGTCAGGAAGAAAAAAAACCACATAATGTAAGTAAAGAAAAAGTCCGCTAAAAAGTTAATTCATAATATCAGAGAAAATTATTGTTACAGAGATCTTATCTTTATAAGCAAATACACTTATTTAATGTTAATGAAAAGACTAAAAAATGGAAACATATTTACTTCTCTCATTTTGAACAACTATTTAGATTTGAAATACGCAACTGGAATACACTGTTTTTGCCTACAGATTGTAGACATAATTAAGCAACTTTGTACTTTGTGAAAAGTAAAAATGTAATTAACGAGAACAATTTGAACAATTGTCCATATCGTAGCAAGTTTTTGCAAGATGGAGATAAAATAAAGTCGATTTCCTTCATAACAGTGAATGTTGATTTTTAAGTTAAGTTGTCGAGATATTATAATTATATTATAACAGTCGTTGAACAGCTGACCCAATTTTATGGATTTACGACAACTAATGCTCAACTCCATGGCTTTGTAATTTTGAACCCAATCCAGAAGACAAGGGAACTCCTGTATCGAGTATTTGGAAAAATTTGCCTTCGTGGAGGACTTTTTTTGATGGAACCAACCCGCATTTGCGTTACGTGGAGAGGAAGGCCACGAGAACCTCCCACGGTTAGCCTGACGGCAAGGGGACTCTAACCCATGATCCGTCTACCACTGAGGATATTTCACGTCAGCACTGTGGTCGGTACAAGCCGGATGTGGAGTTCGTATTGATTCGAACCCGGTTCGCCTCATTGGAAGGCGAACGTTCCATCCCCTGGGCCATCCCGGCTCAAGTTGTCAAGATGGAAAATACTGATAGATATGTGGTCAACAAAATTGTTTGGCAGGATTTCTAATAGAAGCGGAAAAAGATAACTTGGTTGAGGGTCGCCCACACATTGCTATATAAAAATAAGAGGCTCCAATTCTGAGAAGAAAACGATTTTTTTTTTTTTCATTTTCCTGTATTGATACCAGAAATAAATAAAAATGCTTCCATTTAAATATTTTTAACATAATATTGCTCCTTTATTCAGACAAAAATTCCATTTCTCTAAGACAATTGTCATAATATATTTAGAAACATTAATATATTGTGGAAAACTAGTAATTTTTATTTCTTTAAAACAATTTTTATACATGATAGCGGACTTATCGTAATATGCCGTACTCATTATTTTACGTTTAAGAAAGAAAGTAGACGGTCCATGACGTTTTGGTCCCGTAGTTTCGCTTCCGTTACTATTTCGGTAATTTCCCAATTCAGTTCCGGAACGAATGACAAAATTCAAAATGTGGACAAAATTAGCTGAATACAAGTTTTTGAGTGACAAAAATTTTCAAAACTTGCATTTAAAAAATTTCATTTCTCTGAGCCAGGGATGGCGAACCAATGGCACGCGTGCCATTTATGGCACGCGACACACTATTCTGCGCACGCCACTGATCAGAAAGTTCACTACAAAGCATATTAACAATTAAATTAAAATTCTCAAAAACAAACAAAAAAAATTAAAAATTATTAACAAAAAAATTTATAATTAATGCCAAAAAAAATTAGTAACCATAAAAAACAAGCTAACAATAAATAACCAGCAAAAAGAGATTTAACAGTTCTGCTTAAACTAACATCTTACAACCTAATATAAATTATTTGTCATCTAATCTGCAACAACAGAATTCACACTGATGTTACTTTAAGTTGAATTACACTTATAACTGAGACCCTGCAAAAAAAATTTTCTTTATAGTAAATAGTTTTGATTTGATAGTATTTAGTATTATTATTTTCCCAATAATCAGAAAGTCAAAACTATTTGACGGCACGTCTATGACCTCATTGAACAATTTTTTGAAAAAAATGGCACGTTGGTGCAGAAAGGTTCGCCACCCCTGCTCTAAGCTATCGGTTAAAATTTTAATATTCCAGAAATTACAAAATTGCACATAAACGCTCAATTGTACATAATTGTAAATAAACTCTGTGAACGAAAATTTACCTTGTGGAATATTTCTTGTCACTGCTCCCATTAAATTAACAATATTAATATGGTGACCCAAATGAATAAGAATCTTTAACTCAGCTATCAACGCTTTTTGCTGATTCAAATCAGCTTGCTCTGAAAAATCAATAAAAAATAGGTTAATTTAAATTAAGTAAAAAGAATAAGCTAGTAAATATTCGCACACACTTTTTTAAAAATATTTTCATGCCAAATTCATTTGTATTTTTCAAACTAGTTATTTAACTACCAATAAGCAATTCGCAAAATTAAAATATTTTATTAAAATAAAATATTGCATAACTAAAACATTTATGCGTCAACTTAACCTGACGTTGTTTGCAGACGTAAACGGTCGAAATACATTGTTCTCAAACGCTAATTTGTATTTACATCCTCAACAAAGACAAAGTTAGCATACCGCATACCTTAACGTTTCAAATAATAGTATATAATTTATTTTTAAAGCGGTTGGATAAGACATTGTTTCTTTCATAGTTTGAGAAAATATTACAGACATATATATGTATATACTATTTAGTGATCAATATAAGCTAGAGGCTAGTCAATTGTAGAATTTTTAAAAAAAAAATGTTTTTTGTTTAAATTCTAACCGGGGGGGTTAAAAGGTGTATTTAAAATGAACGCTTCATGAGGTAAGAAAATATAGTCGAATTCTGCTTTTTGCGCTGTGCTGAAATTTTGGTCTATTCACGCATGCGTCTTGAAGACTTCAAACTCGTTTTTCTCAAAGCTACAAGTTTCATATCCGCTAAACTCATTGACCGAACAAATTTTTACTAATCGTCTTAAAATTTTAACTGCATACTTAAAATTAAATTCTTTTAATTCATTCCACTGCATCGTTCTTTATAAACAACTATTGCTGATTTTTTTAAGGATAGTTGAATATTTTTAAACAAATATGGGTCTTCTTTTTTCAAAAATCTGCATGTTATAAAATTTTTCTTCATTTTTTTTTAAATATTTGTAAGTATAATCTAAAAAAAAAAATATTTCATCCTAACTTAAAAATTCTAAGTACAGCTGGTTTAGCTGTAAATTATTTTTTACTTTGAATTTTTAACATAATATTTTTTTTAGTTTTGATTTCTGTTGTGCCTCTGATAAAAAATCCCCAAAAAATGCTTCTTAACTGCCACTAGTATTATCCTACCCTTTAAAGGAGTTCATTTTCCAACAAAGTTTTCAGTTTCAGTTCACAAAGCTATGTACTACGATAATCTTTGACGAAAAAAGTTATAGAATTTTAGACATTTATTTTAATTTTCCTTTAAATTGAGTAAAATTTGTATAAACTTGTAACATTAAATTTGTCGAAGTTTAATATTACAAACTCAGCTTTGTATTTAAATGATTGAATAAGTATGCGTTCCCGTGGAAAAATTTTTCTTTCTTGAGACTTAAAACTTTATCACAAGCTATTTTCAGTACTTTTTCAGAACAAAGATCAACTGAATCATATTGACATGATTTTATTCCTTTTATAATGAATTACACAGTAAATTTAGCTTAATTTCTAAAGCTTCTCATGAATCAACTATTCATACACCTAAAAAGAATATAAAAATGCAGCTTCAATTGAATCTAATGAATGTTTATGAATTTTAGTTTATATTTGATAATTATATAGTAAAAGTGTTGTAGTCAAATGATGTATATTCAATAGGAATTATTTTTCTTATTTTGGAAAATCGTCAAAATTAGCAATGAAATGCTTTATTTGGTAAAGTAATTACAAAATGGTGTAAACAGACTATCAGAACCTTGGTAATACTCAATAGTTAGATTTGTTCGGAGTAGAGTATGAAGCATACACTGTTAAGAATTTCTCGGAAAAAATGATTAAATAACAATTCATTTAATTTTTACTTTACCATATTCAAACAAAACCGTCAAATAGCCATAAATAAGATGGTATTCAAACTGTTAACTGCGATAAAAAAATTTTATTAATTGCTCTCATCTAATACGGCTAAACCAGAATTTTATCGAACCAACTAAGCCCGCCTTATGAAGCCCCTTAGTTCCTTGCAGCTAAGTACACATTGTAATGGAGAGAGGTAATCAGTCAGTCACATGAACTGGGATTCGAGTCCCAGCTTTGACAATATAGTATTTCCTCCATTCCCTCCAACGCTTGAAGAGTTTCCAGTGCCCTGCACTCTCCAATACCCATTACTTAACGAAAAGCCAAGCTCTAAAGTCCAGTTATATTCGTTTGTTTTTACGGTTTTGAAACCATGCTAGTAGGAAATGGTTAAAAAACAGTATAATTTTGCATTTATAGTAGTATAACAATACTAGTTGCAAACGGTTTCAAAACCGTAAATGTCTAAAATGTTCTTTATAGTAAACTTTACGGTTAATTTGATAGGCAGGCTGCTGCCGATTATTTTTCCATAATTTTAGAATGAAAAATCTGTCAATGTACTTACTTTTCAACATTTTAACAGCAACCGTTGTTGAAACTTCGTAGTCATTCAAACCAAATGCTTCCGCTTTGACAACTCTTCCGAAAGCTCCTTGACCAAGAGTGCGACCTTTATAAGAAGAAGAAAATTTCATTGTAATCGTAAAATATGGATAAAATGCCCAACTAAATTGAATACCATCCAAATTAGATAAATCATAATGCAAGAATACATAAAATAGTAAATTCATCATATGAAAATTTATATCATGTATTGAATAAAAATAATTTGGCATAAATAACAAAAATAAGTAAGTATTATTTTACCAAGTTTGAGATTATCTTTCGGAAATTCCCAATTTTCATCATATGGTAAAAGGTCAGCTTGGTCATCTAACGCTACATTGGGATCATAATAACTCAATCGACCTTCTCTGAATAATTGATGATCAAATCCTTGAAGTTTTCGCATTGTATACTAAATAAAAAATATTTTTGAAAATTTTTTAATATTTCATCACCAGTAATAGTAATCAACTGTTAAAAATAAAATAAGGTAAGAAGCAAATATCTGTAATAACCAGTTCAAACCTTCCATCCATTTTAAAAGATGTCTAATTCATTTTAATCACTCCTTAAAAAAATAACTTAAACATTTTTTTTTCCGAAGTAATTCGAGAAAACCGCTAATCATGAAAAACTAAAATTTAATCTAACTCTTAAAGCAATGTTAAGTTAAAGAAAGGAAATAATATAATATAAAAAAGAATTGAAAGAAATTGAGATAAACTGATAAGATTTTCCATTCATTCTAATGAATATAAATTTCATTTTTATCACACTTTGAGTAAATACTTTAAACTAATATGTGTATTTGAAAACATTAAATAAAAAGAAAACCTTTAATGCACAAAACTAGAACAGCTCTTACTTTTTGAAACCAAAGTTTTTAAGTTAAAAAAAGGAGTTAATTGCTCTTAAAAGTGGAGTTTTTAAGTTAGAGAAAAGAGTTGATTGCTCTTAAACGTGGAGTTTTTAAGTTAGAGAAAGAAGTCGATTACTCTTAAAAGTGGAGTTTTTAAGTTAGAGTAAGCATTGTCAAGCAGTGATAACAATAGACTCGAATGAATTTTAGGATAATTTATTTTATATAAGGGACAATTTAGAAACTCAAAATGAATAGAGATACGAATGAAGTTTAAGCAATGTAAAAAAAAAACAAATAATTTCACATAAGCAGACAGAAACGTCGAAGGTAGGTTGAGAACCCAAGATATTACAGATACAAAAACTGGAAGAAAATGGATTTTCAAACATTTAATAAAATTGAAATGTAAGAAAGGATATTTGTAATTTATTAGAATTTTTCGGAATGTGAAATGATTCTCAGAAATCTAGGTCAGTAAAAGAATTTAGAGGAAGAAATCACGCATCTCTTAACAAAAGTTCTGTCTTCTAATAATAGAATTGAGTTTACGTAATTTCTGAATAGATCGTATATCTGCTTAAATAACATTTTTACTTTTATTACGTAATTATAAATATATTCACTCGAAAAATTAATCCTACTTTATTTGAATGTGGAGAAGTAAAGTAAAATACTTAAGATAAGTTTAAATGTTTAGAAGTTGACAATCGTTATTTTTTGTTTTGTTCGTTTTAATTACTTTTTAATGGATTTTTATGCGATGTCATATTATATATTAGATTCGATTAGCAACAATGCCTCAAGTGTCAAACCAAAAATAATTTATTTTTCTATTGCTTTATTAATTGACAGACTCATTTAGATACGCAATTTTTTATACTTTGCAAGAAATTAAATTCTGCATAAATTATTTAATAATTAATCATGAGAAATCCTGAAGTTCTGACTTAAAATTTAAACGTGGATTTTATAAGACTTCATGTTCGTTGTTAAGTAAAAAAAAATTCTGAACGAAGTTAACGAAATATTTTTTTTTCTAAATCCAAATTCTATTAATAATTATTAAATAAATAATTAAAGAAAATTTATATCAGCAGGACCTAGTTGTACACACCTTTTTTCTATAAAACCATCTTCCGAAAATTAAAATAAATACTATAATTAAAGCAGCAGCCACTCCTGCTAACATGATTATCGAATTCTTTGCGGACTCATAATTTCCTCTCTGCTCAAATACTTGCAAAATTCCATCTTCTGCAAAATGAATTTAAGAAAAATTATAAAGCAAATTATTAAAAAAAAAGTAATAATTTTTTAAATATAAATAATAAATATGCAGTAATGATAATACTAATAAAATAAAAAAGATTATGCCATGCGAAAACAATACTTCTCAAAGTGCCTATACGACGCACAGTGGGGCGGATTGCAGATTAAGTAGCCAAAAATTAAGATATAGGAATAGGTGAATATTCGTTTATTAATCACTAATTTCGAACAGGGGAATTATACTTACATCCGTTTATGTAGCTTGAATTTGATTTGAATTTTTTTTACAATACGCTAAAAATAACTGAAAGTTTCAAAATTCATTTCAGATAAATACACAAGGTTCCGTAGCTTATTTTAATTTACCTTCTAATTATGTAAGCAAAGATATATGTCTCTCAGATAAACACAAGCGCTTGCAAGACTTTTTTTTTTTTGTAAACTTCGCCAAAAGTTGTGATTTTACCTAAATTTCAAAAATATATAAAAACAAAAAACTGCATTATTTTATTCACGCCGGTAAGTTTGATTCCTTTTTACATGTTTCTTTTATTTCATGATTTTTTACCACATAAGGTTTTTTGCGATATCGACACATATAAACAATAATTTTTATCTTAGGATAATTATTCTTTATTCAGAAATNATATATATATAGCTTGAATAATTTTTACCGCTATTTTCAGACAATAAAAATTACTTATTTTGAGGATTTCTATAAACATTTCAAAACCTTTATTTTATTTTTATTTTTCACAGTGCACAGTGCAGTACTTTCGAAATATGCGATTTCATCAGAATTGCACCATGAAATAATTACAATAATACTTTTTCCCATTCTGTCATTTTTCTTATTGTAGATTAGCGTATGAGTTGAGTAGGCAGGAATTCAAAGAGTTTAGATTTTTTTTAAATATGTTGCAGAATGAAGCAAATATTCCAAAGTTTTGATTATCTAAATAAGTTTAGAAACAAAAATTACACTCTAACACTAAGGCTGCTAAACTTAACTCGTTTTGACCCACTTCTAGCCTGGGCCAATCTTCATAATTTTTAAAAAATTAATTGTGAGATTAATTTAAAAATGCTTAAATAAAGCTGATACAGCAGACACATAAAAACAGGAAGGTGTTAATGTCATTAATTGAAAACTAATCCCAGTTTACTTCCATAAACGTTTAGTTATTTCACATTATTATTTTTCTTATCTTCTATTCCATCTTATTGTATCGAAATCTACATCAATTTAAATATTTTCAACACAAAAGGATATTATAACGTTAATAAAAAAATTTAAAATTTAAAAATTTGAAGTCTTATAGTGTGAAAGACAACGCACCAATCGCTTAAGTATAGGTAAATAAATTAACACTTACTGATATAGTATTGCTTTAATCGCAGAATTTTGATTTAGAACTGCAGCACTAATTTAACTATAGCCTTTTGTTTTAGAAGCCAAAATTACTTTTAAAAATTATTTAAATGATTTCAATAAGGAGCAAAATGTGATTATTTGAATAACAATACGATTGACAAGGCTAGCGGAACGTTAGTTTATCTAGCAGTTTTGAAGAAAAAAATTTTCAGTATGTATACTATTTTAGTCTTATTACACAACACGAATCCATTTAACCAAGCCTTCAAATTTCACAAATCTAAGAGTATATATTAACTAACTGACTATCATTAAACGACTTCGGGGTGAAATTAGGTTCCTTGTGCTTTTGACATTCGATTTGTAAACTCGGCTAAAAGTTAAAACACACCGAATTTCAAATGCAAAGATGTGAACAATTTAAATTCGTGTAAAGGACGTTATAACTTGTGGGAATCGAAAATTGTAAAAAAGAAATAAAAGCAAAGCATAATCTTTAGTTTCCCATTGTCAGCATCTAAAGCTAATTGACTAAAATTCATCAAAATATCGCTTATCTTCTGAGCTCTTTAATGGCTGAACCTAAATCATGTATAAAATAGTAATTGAAAAGTCACCTGAAAGTACCGAGAGGGAAATATTTTTAGTAACAGTTCCAGCGACATTTTGCGCTTTACATTGATAGAATCCACTGTCTTCTTTAACCAGACGTGAGATAATGAGTTTCTGAAACTGGTCCTCGAATTTCCCTCCGGTAATATTAGCATCTATAATACTTCCATCTCTGTACCAAACAACTGTAGGAAAAGGAGTACCATCAACATGACATTCCAATTCCAGAAATGAATTTGATGCTAATAGAAGCTCCTCGGAACTCCAATTAGAGTTAACAAATGAAGGTCTCTTTATTTCTGGAAAATAAAAACGATTCATTTACAGTTCAGTTTAACTATTTGTTAAATCTAAAACATTTTTTATTGTTTTTAGTAATCTAATATATACAGTCATTGGCCAAATTATTAGACGCACTAAAAGATTTTATGTAAAAACTATATAACCAGGTGATACCAGACTATTTCCAGACTATACAGCTTTATTGTTTTTATGTGACTGGAACAGGTTTGCATTTGTTTACGTTAGTGCATCAGTTGGTTAAATTAGACGATATATAATATAAATTTGACCATAAGATAAATTAGACGATATATTGTATAAATATAGAATATTTATTGTATCAAGCAATATATAAGTAAATTATAATAATTAGATCAAACTATTCGACGCACTGTAGTTTTTTAATAATTCCATGATTTGCACGAGTTTATATGCAATACTTTTATATTTAAACATACATGTATAATACATATTTGTTTAAATACATACATGTATTAAAACAAACTATATAACCAGGTGATACCAGACTATTTCCAGACTATACAGCTTTATTGTTTTTATGTGACTGGAACAGGTTTGCATTTGTTTACGTTAGTGCATCAGTTGGTTAAATTATACGATATATAATACAAATTTGACCATAAGCTAAATTAGACGATATATTGTATAAATATAGAATATTTATTGTATCAAGCAATTTATAAGTAAATTATAATAATTAGATCAAACTATTCGACGCACTGTAGTTTTTTAATAATTCCATGACTTGCACGAGTTTATATGCAATACTTTTATATTTAAACATACATGTAATAGGTTTTTATTCGGGAGATTTTTTATATACTTATATACTTCCTACCTGCATTTATTTTTAACGCATCGCATTACAATGTTTACCAATTGATACAAGAGTGTAAACAAATGCAGATCGGTTTCATGAGAGTAAAAACAATACAGCGCTATAGTATCACCTGGTAATTATGATTTTACATGAAATCTTATTGTGTATCTTATCATAGAATCTACTGTAGATTCATACATTCTGTAGTATATAGATTCTATCTTATACATAGAATCTTCTGTATATTGGATGATTGCATGCACTTTTTTTAAAAAGATCCAGAAAACTTATAAATTAAACATTACCGTAAAAGCAAACTATCGTAATTTTTGTCTCCATAATACCATTCAGCTTTTAAAGAAAATTCTACCAAAAAACACACCATGAAGGTAAAAATTAATCTTGCATCTGAAATATGCTCACCAGGTTCAAATCCTGATGATAGGTGAGTGCACAATCATTCTTACATTTAATTTTTTTTTACCGTAAACTTTTAAAGTAAATATTGAATTTACATTAAAAAGTATTGGCACCAGGATTGTTAGTAATTTTCTGGATATATTTAGTGCACAATGAGTCCTAAAAGTTAGTTCCTTCGCCACAATTTCGTGGAAAAAATAATTTCTGAACTGTTAAGATATACTCTTTTAGAATAATCAGTTCAAGACTGAACCATATTATCAGTACATTAAAAGATAGTACGGTGCGCATGCGTAACCTTAAATTCAACCATGCTCTGTTCAAGTTTAAATATTATAGCGTGTTATGATGTTTAAGAAATTTGCTAATACTATTCTACTTAGTACAAATTGCTAAGAAATTGAACGATATTATGATGAATAAGTTCTAGAATTTCTACTGTGTATATTGAAAGGTCATTAGCAAAGTTTTCAGGGGAAAAAAAGCATTATTTTTATGTAAATATGTGATTGAAGATTTTATTTATTCATATATATATATAATAGAACGAAAAAATTATAACACGATGTTTTCAAAGTAATCAGAATTTGAAACGTGGTTACATTTGGAATGATATGCAGCTGAGAGTTCTATTGTTTTCTAGTCAGCAGCGACATCTACAGATGAACTTTGAAACTGAAAAAACGGTAAGGGATATAAAAATAATTTGAGTTTCATCATCAGAATTGTTTTTCTTCAACTAATTTTTCAAATCACCGGTCAATTTTGAAATACCCGATATTAGCTTTCCCGATTCAATATATTTTAAAAAAATTTTATGTGCCATAAAAATATATTTAATCTAAATTTTATGTACCTAAAAATATATATTTTGTTTTTACCTCGAACAAATACTAGAGCAGATCTTTCTTCAGTATCATTATGCAATCTCTTATAGCCGGTGCATTTATATTCTCCAGTTTCATTTTTTGTAATAAAATCAATCTGCAATTCTATTGAAATAGAATTGGAGGTATTGAAGATATCTGAAAAGAAAATCGACATTTGAAAAGTAATCAGAAAACGATAAGACATCAAAAATTATTGGAATATGAAAAATTGCAATAGAGAATAATTTATACTTGCTTAATTCTTCTTTTGATATAACTCTAGATTGATTATAATTAAATGATATCCATGTCAGTGTTAACATTTCAAATAGATCAGAGCTTGCTGCACAAGTCAGGGAAAACGAATCCATTTCTAAAGGTGATTCTTCGCTAACATGCAAATCAAAGCAGTCATTCACATCTGAAAATTAAATTTATTTCAAAACTACATCTATAGTAAATCTAAAAACAAATGTGAACTTATCATTTAACACATTATTTGGTAAGCGTATTTAGTTTTATTTTTTGAAATGCCTACACGCAGATATTTTTAAAGTATACGGTACACTGTCGGAATTTTCATTCTAAAATCACAACAAAATTACCGGTAGCAGTTTGTCCATCTAATTAACAGTAGGGGAGAGTGGGGTCAATTGTAACATTTTTTACTTAACTATTTTCAATTAACAAAAAATCCAATATCTTTTTAGTATTATTTGACAGACGAGTAAAGTAGACTATCCTCTACTAGAAAAAAAATAAATACCTTATTTTAAATGTTATTATATTAGTTATTAACAATTTTTGACAGTCGTGCACTTGTTACAATTGTCCCCACTTACGGGGTCAATTGTAACAGTTCATAAATTCAACTAAAACATAGTTAATTATACATATTATCATAGTTGTGATATATTTTTTTATTGATCAAAATAGTAGTGATATTTTAGGAGTAAAAATAATAATGAGCAGAGACCTAAAGGGTTAAACTTTTAACTTTAAGGGGTTAAAAATTTTAATTTATGCTGTGAAAGGTGACAAATAAAATAATGCACATGCAACATAATATAAATGATATAGGAAACTATTGGTGGTTCTTAAAGAGTTAAGTAATGGTTTGTAAACATAAGATTATTTATTTTCAGCTGTTACAATCGTCCCTTTACTTATTGTTACAATCGTCCCCAAGACGCCATTTCAGCTTCATTTGTTAAAAACAATGCTAGTTAATTAACAAAACTAATTTTTTTTTATTGAAATGTTAATTAAGGTGTCCACTTACATATTCGGTTAATAATTTTTATTTGTTTAAACAAAATTACTTTGTTACAATATAATATTCTAATACCAAAAAAAGTACTTACGTAGCGTGAAAATATCTTTTGTGATGTAACTCTTTCAAAAGTACATAAAAATGGTTGCCAGCAGGGGTGTACATGTAGATTTATTAAATACACCTTGTGCGCCACCTAGGAACCAAATCTAGAACCGGACACTCGAAATTTTTGCTCTGTTACAATCGTACCCTGTTACAATTGACCCCACTCTCCCCTACAGTTTAAGAACAATCCCCTTCTTTTATAATTTTGAAACCGTTTACATCTGGCATGTTTAAGAAACCATGAATGCAAAATTATATAGTTTTGTAACCATTCAGAACTAGCATGACTACTGTAACAAACAATTGTAGCTAAGTTATATTTAGCCTTTAGTTAGGCAAGTGACATTGAAGTTAGGTTGAGTTGTAGTTTTAAAATGAACCGTGTAACAGTTGAGGATTTCAAGACGCTGGAACCATTTCATACATGAAAAGATTGGAACAAATATTGGGTGTATCAACGCTGGAAAGTGAACCCCGGTACAACCTGTTATGAAAATGATAGATTAGCTTTCTGGGCTACAGTATGGTACTCTGCTTCAAAGAACTACGTCGTGGCAAGGTTGGCGTGGGTAAATTTCTGGTTTTCTAAGCGTTCAAGATGAAAACAGTCAATAAGAGAATATTCTCAAAATTAACAGTTTGAATACCATCTTTTTTGAGATTATTTGACTGTTATGGGTGAATATGGTAAAATAACAATTAAATAAATTGTTATTACACCATTTCCTCCCAGAAATTTCTAACAGTGCATAAGACAATGTAATTTTGTTTGTGCATTCTAGGAATGAATATAAATCTTGACTTTCATTACTCATTCTTTTTTTTTTTTTAAAGATGAGGCTGTTTCAGGTCTCAATTTTCAAGAAATAAGTAGGGTAAGAAAATATTGAAGCAAACCTGTTACAATGAATAGCATTTGATCATAAGCATCTCCTATTTCATTCTTTCCGTTGCACCTATAATATCCCGATTTATGAGCTGTAACAAACAGCGACGAAGCAGCTTTATCATCCTCATTCATCATCCAAACATAATCATTATTAACCAACGAATTGTCATCATCAAGATGCGTCCAATTGTTCCATTTGTCTTCGAAGCTGAATGGATTCCAACTCCAGAAAATGTCATCTGGAGGAGGATATGCATCAGCATGGCACAGAAATTGCTTTTTTTGACCAGGCATAAAACAGTTGGAAGTGATATTGTGGATTTTAACAGATGGTTTATCTGTAAGATTACAAAAATGGCAAATTTAGTAAAAAGTTTATTATTTAATCATGTTTGAATCATCAGGGTGACAATTTCTGAGGTCTATGGAAACAAAAACCTGAATAACTGTTGAGCTGTTAGCGAGATTCCGTTTATATTTAATGCATGAATTCGGATATATTTATTTATCACTTGATTATATCATGCGCACTCTTATTGTTATTAAATGTTTCTGAGTTAATAAATATAAATAGTGCAATATTAAGCATATAGTGTAAAATAATGTAATAGTGTAATATCAAGCGTATAGTGAAAAATAGTGTAATATCAAGCATACATCAAGATATATCTCAATTTTCGTGATCTAAACTAGAACTATTTCCTTGCTTATACGGTGCTTGACCGCTAAGAAACAATTGTCAAGCATCGGATTGTGATTTATGCCAAGTTGCGTTTTAGAAATCGTCCAATGAGCATTTTTTCTCAAAATTTTATTATATTTCAATTTGTAGATATCTGAACTAGTTTGTATAATAATAAATCCTCATTGCCTCGATAAATATGTACTTAGTTTTATTTTATTAATCAAGGTCTATTATTAATTATTCCGAAAAATGTGACTTTTCCTTAGAAATTGCCAAGCAGTGTATATCGACAAGCTAGCTTCTCTATTACTATTTTTGATCTTAACTCTTGAGGCTTATTTTTTTGGGTTTAGGAATCAATTTAACGTACATTGTAAAATTTTCGGGATCAAATTACGATAAAGAGAGAAATTACGATAAAAGTATCGGCACTCAAAATGCCGATACTTTTTACAGTAAAATGTTATGGAACAAAAAATGTGATAAACCTTAATATTTACAGTAATAATTACTGTAGAATCCCTGAATCACTCTATTTAAATAAATATTGCTGTAAAAATAAGGGTATAATGTTTTACGGTACAAAAGGTTTTTACGATAAAATGGATTTTACGGATAATGTAATTTTATATCGTGATTTGATTCGGAAATTTTTACACTGTAGTTCACGAAGAAAAAACGCATAACTACCTTTCAGAAAGCCTTCAAAGGCGTCGATGTCTCAACTTTTTAGCAAGTTTTGCAGAATTTGCTATGCTGTTTGCAGAATTTGCTATGCTGTTTGCAGAATTTGCTATGCTGTTTGCAGAATTCACTATTAGCGTTACTTGGCAAAGAAATCAACAAATACTTTTCATGAAACCATGATCTCGAACCATAATCTTTCTATTATAGTGTTTTGTGTTTATAGTGTTTTGTTAATGATATGAAAAATGCAAACCGAAAACTGCATGCATCTTTATAGGTAATTAAATACAATCTTTTATTTATCTTCTTTTATCATATGCGTAGAAAAATTAGTCAACCAAGCAGATTTATGACTCTTATTCTTAGTCTCAGTGAATTTTTAATTTTAAATTCAACTCAAAAGACAAATTAACTGGGTAAATAAATGTTTTGTCTTAAACTACCACAAATGTTGTAACAGATAAAAGCTTAGAAATTAATAAAACTTTCCCTTAGGAAAATTTGCCATAAGTTTGCCATAAAAAGTGCCATAGGTTATTCCTAGAGAGTTTTGCCTATGGCAAAATTTTGTTATACACTTTTGCCATAAACGTATGTCAAAATTTTGCCATAAGCGTATGGCAAATCTTTACCATACACGTATGGTACGCTTTTGCTATAGGTCGGTATATGAAGAAGTATATGAGGAAAATTTATCATCGGTAAAACTACACTGGTATATCCTATGGTATTGTTTATATAGCAAATTTTTGCATAGAATTATGGTGAGCTATAGTCTGTAATTAAATTTTTCCATAGGCTACGTTAACATTTCTTCACAAACGTATTGAAGTTTATCATACAACTATACATAGGGAAATTTATACATAGACAATAATAAACAAGAGTGATATTGAATTACAGAGAGCTTTCGGAACTTTTAAGAATAATTATAATAATAGAAATTAACGTGAGAGACTAATTTATTAATTATATGAGAAAAGACAATAATTATGTAAGACAGCCAAGAACTCGTACCGGACAATACCCGGATGATTTAAATCTTTACTACAAAAATTTATTAGAAAACAAAACAGACAATATGAGTAATGAAAGAAAAAATAAGTAAATAAAGGAAATAGAATGAACTTACAGATTTGCTGGTTCTCTACTGTTCATTAATCCAAAATCAATCACAATGTTAAAGATTGAACACAATATCGTAAAAAGGTGCAAAATCTATTATTTGATGTTAGCGAAATTCACACAACATTATTCTAACTATATCAAGTTGTGTATTAGAAACTAAAACGTTAGTGTTTGATTTTTAATTAAGATGCAAATTGTTCTTAAAATCATATTTAACATAGTTAACCCTTTGACGTAGATGAGACAAGGGTGTCCTTCTTATATGTTCTGATGCTCTAGTTAGAAGCAAAAGTATGTTTCGTATTTTTTAATAATAAAAAATAGTCAAATAGTTACATCTGTTAAATTATCGTAATTATGTTTGTCCAAAAATATAAAATCCCAAAAAAGTAGCTTGAAAAAAAAAATTTCATTCATATTCATGTTCAAAAATTTATCAATAATTGACTCTGTAAATTAAAAAAAAATATTTAATAATAAATAACTTTTTCTCTTAGATCTAAATAGCTACAAATAAATAAAAATTTGAAAAATTAATCCATGGAAGTGAGCTGTGTTTGGAAGATTTTACCGATAACGCAGAAAAAGACATGGGTGCTTTAGGCAATATTTCATAACCATACATTATTGAAATACTAAATAAAATATTTTTCACTTATTTTGGCTTTAATTAATACAAAATAATCAAAAAAGTTTGAAAAATATCTTTTATAAAAATTCTGCGTCAAATGGCTATGAAACTAAGCAAAAGAATTATATTTATATAATACATGAGTTACTAAAAAAAATAAATATATAAAAAAAAAGTCAAATGAAACTTGGACTCAAATTAAACTGCGGCATTCATTTCTGATAAATTATTTTACGTTAAGATATTTATTCGAATGATAAAAAGCCATTTAAACAAATTTAAAAAGCCATTTAAACATTTCAACAAATAAGTATTTACTATTCTCTGGCAAATGTATTTAAAAATGTACTAACCTTTAACTAATAAATGAAATATTTTGTTGCTAGAACCTCCTGGAGCATATGCTGTTACCATATAATCATCTGAATCATGTTTAGTGAGGTTGAATACTTCTAGAACAAATTCAAAATCCGTAGACTTGGTTATGTATTTTCCAATAACTAAAGGTAGCTGTTGACCTTTTTTTGTCCACAAAATTCGAATGTCTTTTGTGTATGGAAAAACATTGTAATTTGCTCTCAATTGCACATTTTCTCCAACTCTCTTAATTACGGTATTTACTCCAACGCTAAAATTGACAGTGGATTGTTTTGGAAGTTCTGAAAATCATTAAAAACACTAAAAATCATTTAAATACACAGTAAATATCGGTTATAATCACAATTCACAATATCAGATGGAATTATAGCTATAAAGAGCTTGTAGTTAAAAACAAATGCACATTTTTAATGTTAAAATTGCAATAAGAATAACTACAATATAGTATGCTATAGTTTCGGGCACTATAGCTGAATATAATATAATATAATATAATTGGCTTAACGTGTTTACTAGAGTTTACTAATTTTAACTTAATTTACTACTTCTTAAAGAAATAAAAAACAAAGACAAACCATATACATACCAAAAACAGAGATATTAACTTCATGATAGTTTGTTTTTCCCGAATGATCCGTTACATTACATTGATAAGTTCCTTCATCTGCTTTCTCTACATTGATTACTGTTAAAGTCTCAGTTGTAAATCTGTCTCTCATATTTCTTGTATGGGTAATATTGCTGAGAATTATTCGTTCAGGCTAGGAAAATTATTTATAATATAGATGAAAAAATATTTTCATACAATATGGATACATACCATAAATAGAGATATTAGCTTGCTGAGAGTTTGTTTTCCCTGAATAATCTGTTACATTACTATGATAAGTTAATTCATCCGCTTTCTTTATATTAATTACTATTAAATTCTCAGTTGTAAATCCGTCTGGCATATTTTTCGTATGGGTAATATTACTGAGATAATTCATCTAATTTAGGAAAATTATTAATACGTAAATAAAAAATTGGTGTATACCATATGAGATTTATGTTATGAAAAGACATTTTAACTTTCTGATATTTTGTTTTTCCCGAATGATCAGTTACATTACATAAGTTCCTTCACTTGCTTTTTCTACATTGATTAATGTTAAAGCTTCAGTTGTAAATTTGTCTCTCATATTATTTCCAGAAGTTATATTTCTGAGAATGATTCGCTCAGTCTAGGAAAAAAATAATAAAATAACTGAAAAATAATTTTAGATTGTATGCCTTAGCCTGATTGGTAAAAAAATACCACCGGAGATATTTTTATTTTATTTAAATGCTCTAATTTGAAAACACAGTTTAAAACCTTTGTAAAAATAAAAAATTTTGACACGTATTTAAGCAGAGAAATTTGTTTGATAATGTTTAAAGTTTTGAACCAACAGATTCTTGTTGTATGTTTTAATATCAGCAAATTTAAGAAAATTATAAGCCACTGAAAGACAACTTACATCTTTTACTGGATAAATCCACTTCATTTCAACCAAAGTAGTACCCAAGTCGACTTTTACATTACATTTCAGGCTAAAATTTGAATTTACTAATACATATTTTGCATTACTATCATCAATTTCAATTTCAGGAACAGAATGAGTTTCAGCTAAAAAGAAATAAGTCTAGTTAACGATTACGAATAAGTCTACAGTCCCTGGCCTAACTATTAGACGCACTAAAGACTCTATGTAAAATCTTAATTATCAGGTGAGACTATATAGCTTTATTGTTTCTACATGACTAAAACCGGTTTGCACTTGCTTACGTTCGTGTAATAATTGGTTGACATTGTAATGCAATACATTAAAAATAATACAAATAGAAAGTATATAAAAAATCTCCTGAATAAAAACCAATTACATGTATGTTTAAGTATAAAACTATTGCATATAAGCTCGTGCAAAACATGCAATTATTCAAAAAGTACAGTGCGTCTAATAATTTATTCGAATTATTATAATATATGTGGGGAGAGGAGTAATCGACCATGTCAACCGTCATCTATGAAAAGGTACCCCGACATAGAGTCGCGTTAACATGTCTTATATACTAGTGAATTGTAGTTGTAATTTTGTAGTGGTAGATACGCTACAGTACTCCCCCNTTATTTTTACTCCTAAAATATCACTACTATTTTGATCAATAAAAAAATATATCACAACTATGATAATATGTATAATTAACTATGTTTTAGTTGAATTTATGAACTGTTACAATTGACCCCGTAAGTGGGGACAATTGTAACAAGTGCACGACTGTCAAAAATTGTTAATAACTAATATAATAACATTTAAAATAAGGTATTTATTTATTTTTTCTAGTAGAGGATAGTCTGCTTTACTCGTCTGTCAATTAATACTAATAATATATTGGATTTTTTGTTAGTTAAATATAGTTAAGTAAAAAATGTTACAATTGACCCCACTCTCCCCTACTAAAATATAAAATCCTAAAAAGTTGTCTGATTCTTTTTCATTAATAACTACATAAATAACTACAATTCATAATAACTACATTCATAATAACTTCATAATAATAACTTCATAATAATAACTTACATAAATAACTACAATTAAGTGCCAATATGAAAAGTTATTGCACAGCAGTGAGCCGAGTTTGGAAGACTTTACCAATAACGCAGCAAAAGACACCGGTGTTTCAAGCTGCATTTCATCACCGTAAATTATTAAAATACCTAATATATAATATTTTTCACTTATTTTAGCCTAAATTATGAAAAAAGTTTGAAAAATATTTTTAATAAAAATTCCACGTCAAAAAGTTGGAAATAGTTGGAAAAAAAAATAGTTTTTCTTTCTCTTTTGCAAAAGTTACAAAGTTTTAAAAGAAGTTACAAAATTCTTTACAAAATGAGGAAACGATCATAGATTTAAAATTAGATTTCAAATAAATGATTATGAAGTTGGCTGAGTGGTAGCTCTTCGCGTTCCCGTGCCACAGGTCCTGAGTTCGATCCTCGGGTCGAGCAAGGTTGACTCAGCCTTTCATCCCTTAACTGGGTCGATAAATGAGTACCAAGCATGCTTGGGAACTAAACACTGGGAGTTTCGCGTTCGGCTGACCACCTGACCGGAACATCTGCTCCTGCTCCAGCCCAAGGTCAAGAAAACTGAGATGGATACAGTAGGCCTTGGCCCTCTATGGGCTTTCGCGCCACTTAGCATATGAAATTATCAATCTATTACCAATTGATGTCCTCACATCAATTGGTATATTTTCTTCAGCTTTTCTCTGATTTAAAGTTTAACCTGATCTTTTATGTTAACATATTTGTTCACAGAGTTAGTAAAAACAAATTTTAGTCTAGGTTGTTTCCAAATATGTTCACAAAATTAACAGACATATATGAATACTTAAATAATATTAAACTTCTAGTAAATTCTACTTGTATCCTTCTTTTATTTACTTGTCTATGTTTGTAATGCAGGATGTTTTGTAATCATTATCCTTGATAAATGTTTTTGGAATCCTCGTAAAAAATACAGACAGAAAAGTACACACATTAAGCGAAAAAACAAAAACGCTCTCAAAATCTGTCCAATCACAAATGAGGCAGTCTTTAAAACATTGAAAGCTATTTAATTTCGTAATAAAAATAGAAAAAAAGTTGAAAGGCGTTTATTAAAAACATCATTTGTCATCCCAACTTATTTCGATGCAAGTCTCAAACGTAAGTAGACTTGGACACAAAAATACTATTATCTATTATAAATTTTTAATAATTAAAAAATCATAAGAAAGTTTCTTACTTTAAAAATATTTCAATGCTACAGCTCTATAAGCTCAATTTATTATTTTAATTGAAGAATATTATAATTATATATGAGCTCTTTCGCAAAAGTAAGGCTGTTCTTTTTTAAGAAAATGCATCTATATATGTATTTTAAACAAAAATTGAATTATATCAAAATTCAACTTACGCAATATATCTATTTCTAAGCTAAACATAGCAGAACGGTCTTCATATTCTGCACTGCAATGAAAACTTCCTTGGAAATAGTTGCTAGGATTCTTTAAAACAAATCCGACCGTCGGATCGTACTTTAAATTTTTATTGGTTGGAACAAGATCTTTTAGCTTCCAAAGACTGACTTTGGTGTTTGAAACTGTGGGAAGACATGGTATTGTCGCTGATACACCTTGATGAAGTGTCATAATGTGAAAATATTCCTCATACAGTGGTATCAAAAGATGAGAATTATCTACAAAAATCACATTTTATTATAAACAACATTTTTTTAATTAGAAAATACAATTTCAAAAGAGACTTGATGCGAAATTTATGAATAGTTTAAATACTACTGATAAATACTGAAAAAAGTATTTGAAAACAACAATCTTCCATCGATATTTATAAATTTTAGCAATTTAAATTCAATTTTCAGCAAATTTATTTATTTTTATTTATTTATTTATTAAAAAATTAATTTTATTTTTTTTTTTTTTTTTTTTTTTTTTTGCAGCTCACTCTAAACTTTGAAAAAATGTTTTTCGATGGGAAATATGATTAAATTACTGGAAGTAAATTAATTTTTACTGTTAAAACCATATTTCAATGCCCATAAAAATTAATAAATAATCTAAGTTTCAAAGCTAGAAAACAAATTAAATTAAATTAATTCCCATTCACAATTTGGCAGTCAAAGGAAATATTAGGTGGTAACTTTAAATTTTAGAAAATTATTTAAATCGTGTTAAAATATCAAGAATTTTATTTGCAAAACATATGTGTGCTTTGAAAATTCACACATTTAAATAAGATTCAAAAATAAAAGAAAAAACATAAGATTAGTTTATCAACATAAAACAGCTATAGAATTTGATTGTTTTTTACTGTTAAGTCCATATTTCAAGGCATATAAAAACCAAGAAAGTGTGCGTTTGAATTTAAAAGATAATAAACAAATTCCTATTCAAAATTTAATATTTTGCATTGAAAAGCTCATTAAATATTAGGTAGGAATAGAAGAAATATTAGGTGGCAGTTTTAAATGTTCGAAAAATCATTTCAAATTTATTGTAATATCAAGAAATTGCTATGGGAATCATATTTGTGCATCGAAATTTTACGTCACTCAACACATTTTTCTAGCACGTTCTTTCAGTTTATTATAGATTTTATAATACTATCCATTCATTTTATTGAATTTACTGAAATTGCAGTAAAATTCCTAAATATATGAGTCTGGTTATAAATAAATCACGAAATTATTTTATAGGCTAATACGCGTAAATACTTGGACTTGAAAAATACATTAATATTGCATATTTAAAGTTTACTAAAGCCTCAAATTTGAATGTTTTCAAAATACCACTCCTCATGTTTTTCCAATAAGCTTTTTAATTCATTATAGCCTACTATCACTTACTTAATAATCATTTTATTGAATTTACAATAATTGTTATAAAAATCCTAAAAATATGAATCTCGTTTAACATAAATCACGCAATTATTTCATATAGGTCAACATTTTCAATTGAATATGTATTAATAATCATGAAACAAAATCATTAAAATCATTGTTCTTTTTTATAACACTTGGACTAGTCAAGCACGTCAGATACTGGCCGTCACTAATATGCGCCTTTCGTTTGCAAGAGCTGCAAGGTGAAAATCCATCTTAATTCAGAACCTCACGAATAGATGGCAGCACCACTCATTCATGAGATTACTTCTTCATTTTAGACATAGATAAGAAGGACAAAGAAATTTTATCCAGATCCCTGTGTACCCATGACATTAGTAACCGATTGATCACAATGAATGCAGATTCAGTTGTTAGCCAATTGTCCTATATTATTCTTATTAATATGCTTTTTAGGGGCATTAATAAGTGTTCCCTATATTGATTTGTTTTTAAGAATTTCGATGCCTAAGCACGGGATGTAGAACTTTCTCAAAAGAACATTAACAGTGTAGTAATTTGATTATTATCGTCAAAACCCTGCGAACCGAAAAAGTCAGTTAAATTTGCGAGAGTTTATTACAATAATCCGTCATTATTCACAATCTAACAGCAAAGCGTAACATAATTTCGGCATATGCGGTTTTATCTTATTTGCTACTCTGTGCGTTGAGATTGTGTCGTCCGCAGTTTGTCCTTAAGTCATAGTTTTACTAAATATTTACTTACCATCAACAAAAATGTAAATGGAAGCTCTGTCATTTTCATGGTAACATACATATCTCCCAGTATCATAAAAAGAAGTAAAATGTAAACTAATAATGCTCTCGTAGCCATCTTCAACTGCATTGCTGTTCCATGTGGCTGGAGCACTAATATTTTCATACTCTTTATCATCAGACTAATAAAAAAGATTGAAAATCATACTTTGAAATTATGGAGAGAAAAAACTATCACAAAAATTAGTTATTAAATGACCAATTGACGTCAATAACGTCACTTTGGCCAATTTCTACTCTAATTATAAAGTGTTAATTTCAATACATTGCTATCGGAAGTTTGTGAAACGTTTTTATGCGATTTTAATTAATTTTGCTGCGTAATGTAATTTAATTTTATTTCTTACAGTGGTTTAATTATCTTGATAATTAAATCGCACATCAAGTGGATTTAAGTCTTTTTTTGTAATTGCCCAACTCTTTTTATTATCCTTGCATTGTTTAATTCTACATTATGAAAAGAAAAATACTTATGATAACAACTTTGAAATTAACTTTGATTAACTTTGAAAACCGGGGGGGGGGAGATCTCTGGTTTCCAAAACAGAATGCAGGTGACCTATTTACATCGCCTTTCGTTTTTCTTCAAATAAATTTTAAATCGTTGATTAAGTTTGTAACATCCGTTAAGCTGAATTTTTATCATTTAGTCATTCCTAAGTCAAGTCATTCCTAACAGTCACGCACGAGATTCTTGAAGATTATTACTTTTTGTCGAAACGTCTATCTTTGTCTGAAATATCTAAGAAAAAAAGTTAATGCATAAAAATGATTTATTTATATTTCGATTCTTTTTTCATCATTTCAACTGTATAAAAAAATTATAGTATCAGATTTCCTCATGTGCGTCATGAAATTGCCCTTGAGTTTCCCCCTGAACTAATAGGAAAATGCTATAAACATTTATTAAAACAAGAATACGAAAAAAATATATAAATCCTTTTCTTGTGGATTGTTGATCGTATTTCGTACAATATGCATACAATAAAAAAATTACTATATAGATTATAAAAATTATTGCATAGTGTACAGAAAAAGGGAAAAGAATTAACAATCTGATTTGCTTTTGAATTCAAGTCTAAATTTTCACTTTGTAAGAAGAAAATCAACCTCTGGAATCATCCTCAGAAAAGCTTGATCTGGTTTTAGAGTTCTGTACAATTTTTGGAGAGCCTCAAATATAAAATTAAAAACAAAAATAAATGCCTACAAGGCAATCGTGCGTTCCATTCTTCTGTATGGTGCCGGATGCTGGAGTCCCCGGAATTCCGAAAAAGAAAAACTTGACACTTTTCAAAATCGATCTTTCAAAGTAGAAGAACTTTTAACAAAATCCCATCTGCTAATGAAAAAATTTTAAAACGAAGATGGCTAGGTCATATACAAAGAACAGATCGAAACAATCCTGTAAATGTTGCAAGCTCATGGGCACTTGACGGAAAGAGAAAAAGAGGGAGACCGAGACTAATGTGGCAATGATGCATTGAGGGAGATCTTAGTAGAGCTGGATTATTTGGATGGAAGAAGAGCGTTGCTTGGCCAAAGACAGGAGTGCGTGGAGAAAAAGACTCGAGGCCTTATGTGTCAGTTCGGCACAAAGAGGATAAGTAAGTAAGGAGGAAAAGCTATGGATCCAATAATAAACCTTGAATATGTTAAATTAAACTGAGGATTTTCTTTTCTATTGCAATAGATTTTTAATAGGTTTTAGAAAGCTTCGAATGGCAGATTTCAAATCTGCCATCAGTTTCTCTTTGCAAGTTGCAATTTCTTTCTAAATGACATTTTTTGTCTATTTTGTGTCGAAATGTGCAAGTTTAAAAACGTTATAAACAACAGGAGGCCGTATAAATATTGCGACAAACTTCTAGAGGACCTAGGACTTATCATTAGAATTAAAACTGGATTGGAACTCATGCCCTGAAATGTCATCGTACGCCGCTAGGAGCGCTTTCCTATAATGAACTTTTTCTTCGCATGCTTCTGAACAGTTCTTAATAGGAAATAACCTTTAGCCGCGTAGGATGGCATTTCTGGGCATGGGTTCCTTTACAATTTTAATCCTGATTATGTAACTTTACTCTCCTAGAAGTTTTTCGCAATATTTACTCAGCCCTCTGCTATGTATAATGTTTTAAACTTGTACAATTCGACAAAATATAGATAAAAAATTTCTTTTGTTGAAAAAAAAAATCTGCAGATTTAGGAACAAAATTAATTTCAGATTTGAAATCCTTACACCCGAAAATTAAACAAGATTAAGTATTTGTATAAATTCAACAACACACGTGTACTTAATGAAAACGATATTTTGAGCATCTAAATCAGACAACTCATTTTTTCTAAATATGCGTACCTTTTCACTGATTTTGAATTTCTTACAATCAATATATGGTATTTCATATTTTATAACAGTTGTTGAACAGCCGACATAATTTTGAGTTTACGACTACTAATATTCAGCTCCGTAGCCTTGTAATTTTGAACCCAATCCAGAAAACAAGGGAACTTCTGGATCAAGTATTGGGAGAAATTTGTCTTCGTGGAGGACTTTTTGAAGGAACATGGAGACATATTACATGGAGAGGAAAACCACAAAAATCTCCTATGGTTAGCCTGATGAAAAGCGGAGTATAACCCATGATCCTTCTACCACTGTGGATATTTTATGTCAACACTACGGTCGGTACGAGCCGGGTGCGGAATTCGTATCGATGAGTCATAGCTGGGATTCAAACCCGGTTTGAATCATTGGAAGACGAACGCTCTATCCCCTAAGCCACCACGGCACAATGTATGGGATATTATTTTATGGTTTTATTACCATCATTGAACAGCTGACCGGATTTTTAAGGTTTATGACTACTAATGTAGCAATCAAAAGCTAATTTTAATTATTAATTTCGCGTATTATTTCGCCATCTCTCTAAAATTGATTTTGGGGAAACGGAAATTTAAAAATACCATTTGTTTTTTACTTATATACTTAAAAGGGAGTAAAACTCTACAGCTCTTACAATTTTTTTCAATCAAATAATAAATAATTATAAGATATTAATTTTCATAGTCATATCTTTGGGAGATAGTTTTATAATTATTCGCAAATAAAAAAATATAAAAAATCCCCTCCCTTTTTTTTTTAACTAAATAATTTTAGATGTAACTCGAAATACAACAAGCGAAATTAGCATTATTTGAACAACTTTGATTACAGATATCCTGCGTTATTAAAATCAGACTCCAAAAACGCATTACAAATCTATTATGATCAGAATATCATAAAATATTAATAGAAATGATTCGTTTACGCATCTTTGGCCGAAAGTGGGTCAATTAATTATAAAATTCAAGGTCAACCCATTTCAAGATTAAGATTTGTATTTTACTATATTAGATCGAAACGCATGCAGATCATGTTTTTTTTTTCCTTAGCGTAATTTACGATACATACACCGAAGAGCCATTACATTATGACCACACTGCTAATAACATGTAGAACCACCTTTAGTCCTCAAAACTGCTAGCACCCGCCATGGCATTGACTCCACAAGGTGCTGATAGATATTCTGAGGTATCTGGTACCAAGCTCTCACCAACTGGTCCTGCAATTCCCTCACATTGCGAGGGGGTAGCGTGGCAGCGCGAATTTGGTTTTCCAAGTAGGACCACAAATGCTCTATTGGATTAAGGTCAGGTGAATTTGGGGGCCAAGACATGACTTGAAAGTCACTGGAATGTTCCTCGAACCAATCCATGACGATTCGACCCTTATGACATGGTGCATTATCCTGTTGGTAAACACCATCCCCCGCAGGAAAAACTGTTGCCATGAATGGGTGAACCTGGTCTGCAACTATGTTCAAGTAGCTTACAGACGTCAGGGATTGTTCTATGAGGATTATGGGTCCTAATGTGCCCCATGAAAACATTGTTCCTGGGCGAGAAACCATGAAAACCTGGACGAGTCCATTGTTATAGATGGAGGGTGGTCATAATGTAATGGCTCTTCGGTGTATATTTTTTAATAAAAATACTATTCGTTTGATATTTTAGGCAAGAATAATACGCAAAAATATCAGAACTAATAAAGATTAAAAACATGCATATCAGAAGCAGGCAAATAACATAACTTTGCTTCTTTTTATGGAACATAACTCACCATTGGATCAATATAACCCCATGACAGATATTGCGGTCCTTCACACTTTATAACGATCGTTGAGTTTACTTTAATGTCAATAAAAGGCTCTGTAACATTAAGTTTAATTTCCATTTTCGGATCAGCTGAAATTTAAAAAAATTGGAATTAATCATAGATTTTTCCAGATTAGAAATCAGTTGGAAATTCAAAATTTATTTGGTTTTTTAATAGAAAAAAATTCAAATTCACAGAGGAAAAGTGGTTACTCTAAAAGTAATAAAATTTTCTCTCCGAGCATTTTAAAATGTGCAGTTTTTAATGTAAAAATGAGAAATTAAACAATATGAGTGAAGGATTATAGAGGGTATTTTGTGACCATCTTTAATCTATATATTTTAAAATCTTTATCAAAAATGGAACCAAAGGAGTTCTAATCTGGATTGCAATATAATGTTTAAGCTAGGACAAAACTAAAAACGCCACCGAATTCGGAGGAATCACTATGGAAGAAGGCCTTTATTCGAAACATTGACCCCAACTGTTAACCGAATAAATAGAAGCAATTTTGAAAGCGGCAGCTGCATGAATATTGTATTGAATATTGAATTAAAAAGTGCATTAAAATTAATAAATGGCGAAGTATGATGTGCACATTAAAATTAACTGTCCCTGCGATAACAAATGCTTTCTAAAATCTCATTGTTTGTATTACTTTTAATTACAGTTTGCATTATTAAGTTTACAAATAGTTCATAATATCAAGTTTGCTTACAGTTTACATTATTAAATTTGTATTATTAACTTTCGAAATGTAGCAAGACAGTCTTTATTCATCAAAACTTCGTAATGATCATTTTAACAATTTAAAAAATAAATCTGATTTTCTACGTAATTTTTCATTATAGTTTGCATTATTAAGTTTGAAAATAGTTAATGTTCAATTTGCTTACAGTTGGCATTAATAAGTTTACACATGGTTTGCATTAAGTTTAAAATATGTTTGCATTATTAAGTTTGAATTATTAGGATGAGTTATTAATTTTCGGAATGTAGCAAGACGTTTTTATTTATTTATTTTTTTGTTCATCAAAACTTAGCAATAACCATTTATAGTAATTTAAAAAACTAAATCATATTGTTTGTGTTATTTTAATTATTATTCGCATTATTAAGCTTTCAAATAGTTTGCTATATTCATTTAGCACATACTTTGCATTAAGTTTACATTTTGTTTGAAAAATTTTAAGTTTGAACTTTTATCTTTCGAAATGTATCAAGACGATTTTTTTTATTATCAAAACTTTATGCATAATGGCCATTTTATGTTATTTAAAAAACTAAAAAGTAAATCTAATTGTTTGCATTATTTTTAATTATAGTTTTATATAGTTTGCATTATTAAATTTAAAAATAGTTTGTATTATTAAGTTTTCTTGCAGTCTGCATATAGTTTGCATTAAATTTGCTTGCAGTTTGCATATAGTTTGCATTAAATTTGCTTGCCGTTTCTAAATAGTTTGCATAGAATTTGCTTTATTATTATTCACTTTCTACATATAGCTAGTAGACGTTTTCTTTGTTTATCAAAATTTGATAATGGCTATGTTAAGTAATTCAGAAAAATAAATAAAATTAGTAATTTTTTAACATAGTTGTTCTCTGTGACAAATTACAAAGCATAAGCTATAAAAACTTACCTGATGAAATTACAATTTCATTCACGTTGCTTATGCAAATGAATAAAAATAACTTCACTCCAGCTTTTTTTATGGATAAAGATATCATAATGTCATATTGTTTTAGTAATTTCGAAGTTTTTTTTAACAAAGAATTAATCTTTGAATTTGAACATAAATAAATAATGTATTTTCATAATTCCATAAGCATATTATTTGCTTTAAACACATATCTTCTTGTAGCTTTTCACCTTCTGCGTTTCACGAAATTTTGACTCAGGATGTACCTTTTCAACGGAAATACATCCTGCAAATAGTTAAACGGGTAAAATAGATAATTTTGTTCCGGAGTAAAAAAAAAAGAAAAAAAAATGCTGATCATTAAATGAAAGGAAAATATAAAAACTTATCAATTAATTTCACTGGGGAACAATTCATTCCTTTTTTCTGTTTCATAATTTATTTTTTAATCGAGCTGAGATATTTGCGTGTCGCTGATTTCAAATCTGGAACTGGAACTACAATAATTTAGCAGGAAACCTATACACCGAAGTGTTTATCCCTTGTATGAAAGTTGTTATTGACAAAGGGATAAATTTCTTAAAATAATCTATTTACATTATTTTGGCGAAAAATAAATTTTTAATAAGTTAAATATATTCTCTTAAGTATACGATAAAAAAAAGGAGAAAAAAAGGAAAGAAAAAAAATTTAAAAGAAGAAGAGAAAAAAAAAGGGGGGTGAGATCCAAGATCCTAGTTGCGATGTCTGACTTTCGTTAAGTCTTAAAGTTGTCGATAAAATTTGTTTCATGGCTTTGGAGGTCAGTTCCTGACTTACCCACAAGTTTATTTACAATTGAAGGAAAATATATACAGGGATGATACCAAGGGCGCCGGCAGAATAATATAAAAGGGGGTGCAACCCTCTAACAAACTACCCCCCCCCACACACACACAAAAAAATATTCTGTTATTTCATTTTGTTTAGCTATTACATATACTTTCATCTGTTAATTTTTTCAAGATACATTTCTTCATTGTTAACAAGATAATTAGAAAGAAGTACGAATTTCTTGTACTTGCAAATTTTGCCACGAGAAACTGTACTGATGGCGCTGGCATAGCTACTGACCATTTGAAACACAAATAACTACAAACAGTAGTTTCGTATACTAACGTGCTTGTGTACGCTTAACATTGGTATGTATTGTGTTGATGAAGTTTTACAGTTTTGAGAAGTCAGTTAGCGTTATACACCTTTGTTAAACTAAATAACTAATAGAAAATATAATATTACTTATATTTTAATAANTGCTGAAGATTTCCACTAGTTAATAAGTTAAATATATTCTCTTAAGTATACGATAAAAAAAGGAGAAAAAAAGGAAAGAAAAAAAAAATTAAAAAGAAGAAGAAGAGAAAAAAAAAGGGGGGTGAGATCCAAGATCCTAGTTGCGATGTCTGACTTTCGTTAAGTCATAAAGTTGTCGATAAAATTTGTTTCATGGCTTTGGAGGTCAGTTCCTGACTTACGCACAAGTTTATTTACAATTGAAGGAAAATATATACAGGGATGATATAGGTATTTACATGAAATGATAACAGAAACAGATGAATTGCGCATATTTACATGATGATATAAATGAGGGTCATTTTTTACAGGGGATTATTTACATGATAAAAAACTTTGCGATTAGACAATTAAACTTTATATCATCTTGTTAAAAGAGATAGATTTATAAATATTATTAAACATTAATAAATATTTCTCTCTAGAGAGCTCAAAAAAAGTTTTATAAATCATCAAAAGTATTCTTTTGTTAGAAAAAGTGAGCTGAGTCGTGCTGTCCTCTAGTGGTGGATTTTAAAGTTGTCTGGAGATTTGTTGTTTGGTGTTTTGATTTAGTGAACAATTGTTTAATTTCAACAAAAGTGTCTGTGATGTATATCCAGTTAGGGAATTCTAGAGTTCGATCTAGTGAAACGGGATAAAAATAAAGGAGAGAAAAGGAAAACGAAAAAAAAAACTTTCCGTGAATGTTCCATTAAAGTTGAAAATCTTCTTGACATTTCTGCTTATAAGAAGATATAAATATTTTATAATTGAAATATTGTAAATTTATTTAGGAGGCAAGGATGGCGCCAGATTTTGCCCGACAAAGGGTCAAGTCTCCCCCGACAGGGGGCTCAAATAAATTAATTCAAAATATTTAAATTAAAACGAATTTTATACTTTAAATTTTTTTCTCACATCATTTTTTTCAAGTGTGTTCCTAAGAATCTAAAATCACTGACATTGATACCATAATGTCCAGATTTGAGGGGCACAGTTAAGATATTAAATTTAATTCGTGCAGGTGCAAATCATAATTTAATACACGATTTCAAACGCAAAAACATTCTCTTTTTCTTAATAAACATTCCTTCAGATTTTTGACTTACTGGTTTGAGACGAATTACAAAACATTTAACGCTAGCAGTGTTATTGAAGTTATTAAGCCATAAATATTAAAAAGACTCATTCTTGTATGAATTTCTTGGTTTACGAATATAATCGGACGTCTCTTTGTGAATTAAAATTTGTCTGATTTTTAGGAAAGTACAACACAGTTTTCTCAGATTTTTTATCCCCTTTATTTGGAAAGCTTATGCGTAAAGTAATGAATTATATTGATTTTTGACATTGGATGTTTTTAAATTACACGCTACAGTGAATAATGCTTAGTTATGGAGTTATATAACACGTTACGGATACGAAATGTCAGACTTAATTTGCGTGTGCCGGGAAAAAATATTTTTATATATCCTCGATCCTTCGATATATCAGAAACTATTCAACCAATTTCCATTTTTCCTCTACGATAGTATAAATAATCAAAATATCTACAAGTTAGGGTGTTATTAATTATGAATTTTTATAAGCTTACGTTTAGAACCGTCTAGTTAAAGTTTATTTTTTCGAAAAATGTGAAAAAGCAGATTAAAAAAAGTACAATAAAAGGATATCGAAAACGTCATTCACTACATTGTCGAGAATTAAATTATTAATAATTTTTATTTTTAGCAGCAGCACTTGATGCATATATCATTCGCTGGAGAGCATGCTGAGAGAATAAACACATTGAGCATAAAAATTATTAATATCAATTATCGAGCCGTTGTCGCTCAGGGGATCGCTCAGGTGAACCGGGTTCAAATCCATGCTAAGGCTGGTTGATGCTAATTCCGCACCCGGCTCGCACCGACCACACTGCTGGGGTAAAATATCTACTGGGGTAGACGGTAGTAGTAGTAGTTCATTTACGTCACAGTAGAGCTGCACAATGGGCTATTGGCAACGGTCTGGGAAACATCCCTGAGGATGATCGGAAGACATGCCATCACAATTTTGATCCTCTGCAGAGGGGATGGCACCCCCGCTTCGGATACCCGACGACCAGCACGCGAAGTCGAGCACTTTACGGTAGAACAGTTTAACGAGGACCAATAACGCACACCCTCGGTCCCTACGCAGACTGATCCGAGTGGTCACCCACCCTCACACTGACCGCAGCCAGTGATGCTTGCCTTCGGTGATCTGCAGGGAACTGTGTCTTAACGAGCAGTCCACCACATCATGGGTTAGAGTCCCCTTGCAGTCAGGCTAATCGTGGGAGGTTTACCTCTCCGTGTAACGCAAACGCGGGTTAGTTCCGTTAAGAGTCGTCCACGAAGGCAAAATTTCTCCCCATACTAAATCCTGAAGTTTTCTTGTCTTCGGAATTGGGTTAAAAATTACAAGGCTACGGTCCTGAATATGGGTCGCCGTAAACTCCAATCATAATAAACAAATTTCTCTAAAAATAAATAAACTTACCTTCTTCTCTCCCCCATATCATTGTTTAATAATGAGAAAAATGCTCCTCCTCCATATTATGCAATAGCAACTGATCATAAAGATGTTTTATTTAAAGAAAAAAAAATCTCAACATTTTCTTTAAAAAAATTTTATGTCAGAAAGAGTTTTAAAAAGTAAGAAAAGTGAATGAAATGTTTTAGAAACCAGTCTCTCTAAGAAAAGGTTAGAATTTCTTTTAAATGTTATTCTTTGAAGTTTTTGATCACTGAAATATGTCGAACAAAAGTGAGAGACTAATTTATTTTGTTAAAATATTTTTAATGAAACAAGATGCTTCAAAAATGACTTTTTATATTAATGAAAAAAAGTTCATTTGTTTTTATCAGACGTGGTGTAACGTATAACACTCGTTGCCTTTCACACATGATCTTATTACAAATATGCGAGGAGGATACCCATAATAGCGTTTCAGAAAAAAAGAAAAAATTGTATCAGAGATAGTAATGATTTTTGGTATTTATGTAAAAAAAACAATAGTTTTTAAGTTACTTATGTAAAGGCACCGTAACTAATTTTATAACTGATGTTTATATAAATGTTTAAAACTACCTACAAAAACATCTAAAAATATATTTCGTTTTAACGAATTAGTTCTCTGTTGTCTTTCAAGGATAAATTATTTTAAACTTTTTGTTTTGTTAGACCCATTTCCTAAGATATTCCCAAATTAATTATTATTTGTGAAAAAATGTCGAATTTTCTGAAGAATTACTAATTATTTATTTTGAATCCTATTATTATTTTCTTTTACTTCTATATAATATCTAATATAGTAAAGCTATAAAAAAATTGCACTCTCGTTTTGAGTTTGTATAATTATAAAATAAATAGTATAAATAATATATATAGTATAAATAATATAGTAAAATAAGTAGTATAATTATAAAATAAGTTTCTTGTACTTATCATATTTGAAATTGCAAACTATTAAAGTAGTTACAATAAAATCTTCACTCTAATAAAAAATGAATAAAATAATAACGCTAAAATAAATTGGATCGGATTAATTAAAATCTTAATTTTTAATGAAAATGAATAAATTGGATAGGATAATAATGAGGTTTAAGTAAATTGCCTCGTATGATAATGAAATAAAACTTTTCTTTTAATTTTTATTATTTTTTGAAACTGCTAACTATTGGAATAGTTTCATTAAAATTTACATTTTAATTGAAAATGAATAAAATAATAAGGTTTAAGTAAAGCACTTAAAATGTATTAATTGCTTTCTCAGGTCTATTTTTTTCAGATTTTAATTAATTATTTGCGTATAGATTCCTTTGTGAATAATTTTGTATATGTATTTCAAATTCTAAATCATCACTTTTTTCTGATTAAATGTATAAAATGTTTAACTTAGCAAAAAAA